GTGCTCCTGTGGTAGTCAATACCGCGCCGCAGAAGTACGGACAAGCCGCCACCCTCCAGTCCAACCTGACTGCGTGAATGACATCAAAATGTGGGACGACAAATAAGGCACATAGAATAATGATGGTCTAAATCCACTCTTTTGGAAATGTTTCTTGCAAAAAGGCTACATATCTATGGATCCATCAATCAGGGCTGGATCAAATTCACATTTTTGCAGATATCCTTTATCTCACAAGCATTCCAGAATAGAATTTTATAAAAGTGACGGCCGCCTGCTTGTATCACTAGGCATTTACGGCAATGTTACTGGCTGCGGAAAGACAGCCTTCAGGGCTTGTATTGCCTGCAGAGTGAGGAAGAGGAGCTAAAATCTGTTCAAGTGATTCCAGGACAGTTGCTAAATCATTAACTGGGGCGGACTGTGAAGTGTCCGAATTTGTATTGTTGGTACAGCCAACAGCAGCATAAGGTGTGTTTGAATTTAGAGAAGCAGCTGTCGCTCTCGTAAAAATTCAATATTTTTTCTAGAGACAAATTAGCAGCCAGATTCTGGTAACGTCATCTGTAATCTGTAAGTGGACATGGACAACACACATGCGCGAGGTGCGATTGGCCACTTCACGCACCTGGGAGTGACCACATCTCTGACGCAGGGTTGCCAGGTTTTCAGTCACTTTGGTCACCAAGTTTTGACGAGATAATCGCCAGAAATAGCAATTCACAGGGGGCAGATCCAGAGGGACATTTTGAGGTAGTGGGACTTCTGGAAGCGAATGTTCTTCGTTCTTGTGAACACTGGAAAGGGGGTGTTTACCGACTATTGAAACTTGAGCAGGGGAAAATAATTTTCTACGTATTTACCTTTCTCCAATGATATTTTTTTGGGGGGTCTCTCTCTCCTCGGTTATCGTACAAAAACGCCAATAATCGTACAATTAGCCAATGTTGCCAGGTCTGGTGAAAAATCACCAGATCTGGTGATTTGTAGACCAATCTGGTGATATGATGAAAACTTTTTTGAAAAGTCCTATTTCTGGTGATTTTTAGGACTGGCATATTTATAAATTTAAATTTTGATTCCAAAGAAATCTACTGTTTGTCAATATTCATAAAGTAGATAATTATATAAAGATACGTGACTGTAGCGTTATACTTTTCAAAAACTCCACTGCTAATGCCGGGGAATACCCGTGCAAAACGCGTGCTCCGCTGGGAAGTCCCGTAATCGCTTTACTTAAGAAGATCTCAAATCAATGCCTCGTATTGATTCGAGATCGTCGATATCTGAAAATTTCTTGGTTTTCTAATTTATAGTTCTTTATATTGATTCTCGGAGCGCAAATTCTCTCCGCTGGATAACTTCTTCATCCGAATCATCACTCGAATCGCTTAACAAACATTCCACGACAATACCAACTGCTGCGTACATTGCCATAATGATTTATGATACGGTGTTCAAATTAACGAGTATCCATTTACGATAAAACAAAGGTTAGGTTTTCTTATATGACAGCAACCTGAAGGCTAAAAATGCGTTTTTTTATTAACGACCATTCAACGGAACCGGTTGCCGACGCCATCACATCAGCTGTCAACCATAAGTTCACCGGATCCATCAGTGATGGAATTTATGTGTCATGTGTCAAAGGTGTCAAAGTTCAAAAATGCTTTAATGCTGTCAAAAATATCATATTTTTGATATTCCGCAATCCGCAATTCGGCTTGTTTTTGTGGGAAGTGAACGTGGCTGATATAACAATTATTGTTGATATTACTCAGTGTTGGTCTATTAACATAAACGAAATGACTGCAAAAATAAATACGCTAGATCCTCCGTCGTCAGCCAGTTCAGATAGGTAATTGGATTTTTCTTTATTGTCACGTTTTTCCTTAGCTAAAAATAGCTATGCAATGTGTTTCCGGAAGGTTAGTTTAAGTTAAACGATAAACCGCGTATTATTTTCATTTTTTCAGCGATTTAGAAATCCAAACAGAGCTTTTTGAAGTTTTTCCTGATGCAGGTGAAATAGATGAAGAGAGGAGTGGTGACTTCTATCAGACCCCTGCTTCTCCAATAACAGTTCCTTATTGCCCTAGACCTGCGTCTACTGGATCACAAAAGTCGCCTAGGTATAGTTGCCTGAAAAAGTTTTTGGTATTCTGATAGTTGAAATAGTATAAAAGATTATTTAAAGATCTATTGCACATCCTCATGTAACAATGCCCATACATTATAAGCTTGCAATATTATCCGTTAATGATTGTTTTTGACTGTTATTATGTCTAAAATAATGGAAAACACGCTAGGCAAACTGACCTTAAATGCAGCTCCTCTTGCACACATGAATTAATTAATAAAGGTCCATTGCATTCATTCACTTTCTCACAATATTATATATAATTTTTGCAAAAGCTATGGATATATACCATTAGTTGTATTTTTAGGAATGTTTTATATTATGAAGACCAATAACAAGTTAACTTAAAATATGTCCATGTCAACTGGGATGTAACAAGGTTTTTGAGGTGGCGAGACAAAGCTAAAGAATGTATGTCTGAGCTTCCACAAACAAATGTTCGCACACAGCGGCAGATTACATATGGACTATATATACTGAAATTATGTAAAATCACACAATCATATGTGTGTATAAAAAGATACAGTAAGATAATAAAAACAATAAAAAAACTTGTAGGAGCCTTGTAATGTACTTGTTGAATTTTGAATAATTAGCAAGTTCAAATGAACTGGTTCTTTGAAACAAACACCTATTATGCATATGTCATCAGAATATGTTTGGAATATGGATTGTTATGTAGATTTTTCTCATACAGGAGCAATCCAGATGAGAACTACCACTTGAAAATATATCCAAAAAGGGTTTGTGTAGTGTGAATATAAGCATATAAAGGCTTCAAACAGGATGGTATAATCATACATCAGCATTCATTTTTTTGAAAACATTCTTTTATCATGTTACATAATGCAATTAATGTATAAGGAAGTTCACCACTGTAGGGATAAACTCACAAAAGTGTAAATATTTCTTGAGACATTGAATTTCAGATAACATACATTAGGTAACATGATGGCTATTGAGATCCTCCATCTCTGGCTTCTTCTCTGTTCCATGTGCACGGATAATTTTATAGTAAACAGTAAACAAATTCAGTGTAAGTTATGTGAAATTTTTTTCCATAATGTGTGTGTTAAAGTAAAGGATGTCAGTAAGTGTATTGCTGATGGCACGAATTTGTTTTGGTTCTGTAATAAGTGTAGTAATAATGCTATACAAAACCTAAAAATATCGAGGAGATTAGACAGTCTTGAACAAAAAACCAACAATGTGTTGGAACAAACCAAGGAGTGTTTTGGCTTTGTTAAGACATTACACGATAGAGCACCCAATGCCAGCATGCAGAAGTGGAGTGACATAGTAAAAGCCAAAAGACCGCCTTTGATAAGTAAACCAAAAAATTAGTCACAAAACAGAGTGAAAACCAAGTTAGATGTGACCAACAAAGTCGATCCATCCCAAATAAACATAGCCGGAGTCAGAAATACGGCTAACGGTGGGATTCAGATAGAATGCGAAAACGACGAGTCGATGCAAAAACTACGCGAGGCTTCCCGGAACGCGCTAGCCCGGTACGAAATTCAGATACCAGAGTTCAAAAAACCAAATTGTTATTGTTGGTGTTTATGATAAATACCTGAGGGAGATTGATATATTCATAAACAAATTGAAAGACATGTGTGGTACAAGCGAAATAACGTTTGTTAGGAAATATAAGCCTCCTAGGAAGGAACATTTTAATGTGCTATTGGAGGTATCAAATGAGGCATTTAATTACTTTATTGCTCAAAAGAAATTACGCTTTGGATGGGATAGTTTTCTATTGTATGAATTTGTTAGTGTTTTAAGATGTTTTAAATGCTGGAAATACGGGCATATGGCAAATTTCTGCAAACAAGAGCAATTTAAATGTCCACTATGCGCCGGCAATCATAAGGCAGATCAATGTACAAGCAGTGATAAACGTTGTAGCAACTGTGAATATATTAGCAATGTCTTAGATAAAAAATATAGAATATAATCATATTGTTTTTGATCGAAATTGTACTTCATATCGGCGGCAAGTGGAAAAGACTAGGTTTAAAACAAAATATGAATAGCAATCAACGTATGTTCAAGAAATTTGTTGGTCCATAAATGTACAGGGCCTAAGACGAAAAGTTGATGGATGCTAGTACTGGATAAGAATCCTCTTATACTTATTATGTGTTAATGAAACCCATATTACAGAGGATTTTGAGGATAGCGAGCTGAATATTAATGGCTATAGTCACTACATTGCCCATGCTGAAAGTTGTCATTCAGGGGGAACGATAATTTATGTAAAAAACAATGTTACTTGTACATTTGTAAAAAATTTCATACGTCTTGGTCATTTTTGGTTTTATGCTTAAATGTTCAGCTGGGATTGTAAAATATAATTGTTGAATCACTGTATAGATCTCCGAACGGTAGCATGGACTTGTTTTTCCAATTTTTTGAGGAATTACTGGAAGATGGTTTAATAACAACTCATCAAAGTATTATTTTGGGAGATTTTAATATTCGCTTAGAGACCGAGAACCCAAGCCAAAAATAATTAATAAATACCATATCAGATGCAGGATTTACATAGATAGTTCAAGAGTGCACTAGAGTGACAAATACGTCAGCCACCCCGATTGATTTAATTGTGACTAACAATTACTTGCTTGAAGAAATCACGTTTGATTTTCCACAAATTTCAGATCATCGTGTTATAGGCTGCGTATTGGATATGCAACATGAGGTAAAAACAGAGGAAATGAAAATTTAATGAGGAAAATATTAACACTATTATAGCTGAACTCTACGGAAAAGATTGGGACTATTCATCAACAGATGTGGCCCTATTATATGAAAAGTTTATGAAAAATATTACAGAAACTAAATAAAGTTGTATATCTTAAAAAAACTCAAACCCGCAAACAACCGTGGATTAATAGGTTCGTAATCCAAGCCTGAAGAGACAGGGACGAAGCTTATAAAAAGTTTAAAATAACCAAATTAAATTCAGACTGGAATCTGTATAAGAAAAAAAGGAACATTTACGCCTTACAACAGGAAAAGTTCCAAAAGCAATAAAAACTAGTGTTATAGTGCCTATTCCAAAAGTGTCACACCAAGTAAACCAGCACAATACCGACCCATTAACTTGTTATCAGTGATAGACAAAATCTTGGAAACCGTGGTTTGTGCGCAGTTACGGGAGTTTCTGGAGGCAAGAAAGCTGTTGTTTGAGGGACAGTCGGGATTTCGGGAAAAACACTCGTGCGAGTCGGCGCTGCAGTATGTCTGTTCGAAATGGCGTTCATACATTCATGACGGGAATATTGTGTTAAGTGTATTCATCGACCTTCAACGTGCATTTGAGACTATTGATAGAAAAAGACTGATCCAGAAATTGCAGACCTATGGGATTACAGACAGTGCACTAAAATGGTTTAAGAACTACGTGAAAGACCGTTTTCATATGACGAAGATTAATAACGTGGCGTCAAATTCAATTGATAGTGAAATTGGGGTACCTCAGGGTAGTGTGTTGGGCCCGCTTTTGTTCCTACTTTATATAAATAAATACATTTCTGAGCTTATTTGCAGACAATACATGTTTTTTGGGACAAAGCAGAACTGTAATACATTTTTAGAAAATAAATTTTGTATTGAGATAGATAATATTCAAATTGAAAGTGCATCTAGTATTTGTATTTGTATTTGGGCGTAGTTTTAGATCCTCAGCTAAATTTTTCATTGCATGTTGATTATGTTAGTAAAAAAATTGGGAAAAAATAGGATTTTAGGCGAATATCTGAAAGTCTTAGTCACTGGAGTCGTCTTCTTGTATATAATTCCATCATATATCCACATTTTATTGTTTTTCATTGTTGCTATCATGCATAAAATTTGACATGCAAAGGCTCCAGTTACTACAAAACAAGGCTATGCGCACTATATTATTTTGTACACGTTATACGCCTATTAATTTAATGTTAAAAACCGTCGGATGGCTTTCAATACAGCAAAAGGTTGAAATGTCAAATGTCTTATTTATTTTTAAAACAAAAAATCATTTATTGACTGAATACTTGCAGGAATATCTAATACCGAGGTCCGAGAGGCATGCATATAATATCAGGTCACATAACACTTTTGACATAGAATTCGCTAGAACATCCCATATGCAAAAATGTCTTTTTAGTGATGGTTTGAGCCTTTTTAATGCATTATCTACAGAAATTAGAGAAGCGACGTCTGTAAATATATTTATTCGTAAAGTTAAGCAATTGTATCTAGATAAAATGGCATAATATATGTACTTTCTGTGTTAAGATAACTGTATGTCATCTCGCATTTGCTATTGTTGCATTTACTGTGGTTGCATTTACTATGATTTTAAGGGAATCTAGAATTACTGATTTTTTGTTTATTACTTGAGTAAGACACTATTATAAACTATAGGAAGTAGCTAGGGGCTAAGAATAATAAGCATCTCATTTCATTTCATATTGATCCACCCATAATTTTACATCCTGCATGATGAAAAAAATTATAAATTTGAGGATACTAGATATAATTACCTGAGGTTTTTTCTATGTAATGTACACAGTTTTTGTATATTGTTTTTTTTATATTACCCACAACTAGATCTCGGCGACAACGCACAACCTCGATCAATCAAACTACACAGAATAAGGGTGTTACAGAGTCAATCTTGAGAACACCACAAAGAACAATTTATACAGCTGGCAGGCCACCTTGGTACAACTGTGAAGGACAAAAGGTTGAGCCATTTGTCATTGGTAAGTTTTACTTGTTGTCTGTTAAATATTATTTGTCTGCTGCCTTGAAATTCATTGATTAATTGTTTTTCAATTGTTCAGTATATTATAATTTGAACGTGACTACCTGCTGTGTATTGAATATATAGTATATATTGCAATTAAACAATCTTAAAATCAAATTTAATCTGATTTCTGGCAAATCATTCTTTATCTAATAACATACTTAAGTGAGATTGAACTGCAGACCCGACTAAGTGTTCGGATATCGCGGAAAGTCTTTACCTATCACCCCTCTTGAAAAATATTTCAAAAGCTAAATAAGATTGCCTTCAGATATTTTAATAAAGTAAGTTTTTATAGATATTGCTGAATTTTCCCTTACAAATTAATAATATGGGAATACTTTCGGACTTTATCAACTTTGGAACCAAATATTCCAGAAAGAGATGGTGGATTATTCAAATTTTGAGGAAACGTTTCTATCAAGTTTCGTTTTATTAGCCAGTTAATCATTCCTATTATTTTTTAAACCAGGATGTGCAACATAAAAGTAATATTGGCTAAATTACGCGTCTAGGTTTATCTAAACGTTTTATTTATGTTATAATCTTGCTTGAGTTTTGCAGTTTTATCTGTAAATTTATGATACCTAGGATGTTTATGAAACGTGTCTACACTGTTTGCTTATTCAGTGATTACAGAAAAGTGTTCAATGACAAACTGGATTAGATATGGGTTTATTTTAGATGGGAATAAAACAAACAAATGTTTATTATAGTACATTATAATTCGGACTGCTGTAATATTTATCTGTGATTAAAATTTGCCAGCGCAGCAATAGTTATACAATTGTATAAGGTATTTTTGCAAAAACAATTTTTCACCCAGTAAATGTTTTTATAAATAACAAAATAACAATATGAAAATATACTAAAATCGAAAGCTCGGTGGCGCGGTGGTTTAGAGTATGTGTCTACTAGCCAGTTGCTGGAAGCTCTGCAGGTCAAATTCTGAGTTCATGTGTTCAGTGTTCACATTACACCCTTTCTCTGTATAACCCTATAGCTGAACAATTAATTTTTTAGTCTTTTGTAAAAAAATATATTTCCGAAACCCTCAAGTGAATGAGGAAAACACATAAAAAAAGATTGGGTCACTTGGATAACACGACTTTTGCTTGTATTAAACATTTCATACCCGCAAAATTTCTTTAAGCACATCTTACAATGATGAGAAAGATGTAAAACTTAAAAACATCTAGGAATTTCTCAAGGCTTGGCCCACATTTGTAATCGAACTTTGAGGGCTGAGTTAAGAGTTTTCTTAATTTTCAAGGTTTCAAGGCATAGTATGTGTATGTCAAATTTCATTAAAATATTCAAAGTGGTACTCACAAATATTGATAATAATTTACTTTTGAAAACTTGACCAGCCTGTACCTCAAAAGCTAAAGCGTTTAGGACATACATTAATATGATTTGACCCTGTATAATAGTTATAGTATTTCATCAGTATAGTGTGGTGATTTAAAAATTAAAAATTTGATATATATAGTGATTTCGTGGAAAAAGTATCCCTGTAGTTACAGTTTAAGATGTGGTGCGGGTCGAAAATGTTGTCATTTTTAAGGGATATGCGGTGGAAGCGCATCTGGAAAAACAACAGTAGCACAGAAGATAATAGAGTCGCTTGGAGTGCCATGGGTAACTTTGTTGAGTATGGACTCTTTCTACAAGGTTCTAAACGAGAAGCAACATGAAATGGCCGGCATAAATGAGTACAATTTTGACCATCCCGACGCCTTTGACTTTGACCTCCTCACATCCACACTTCAGAGACTTAAAGAAGGGAGGAAGGTGGAGGTGCCTGTTTATAATTTCGTCACGCATTCAAGGGAAGCAAGAACGGTAAGATCAAACATTTTTAATTACACTATTTGTTATACACCATCTCTAACCTCCAAATCACTATTTACAACAATATTTGAACACATTCTATCTAAGTGACCTCTTATGTCAATTTGGTAATGTTGTCAGTACCAAAATTCCTTGGCATTTAGTCACTACTTATCAGACCTATTTTAACTAAGTTTTGATTATATGATATTGATCATTAGACTATGTATCGATTAGTTCATTCTGATTTTATACAGAATTACTATGATTTGTCGCAAAGTGGCGATTTTTTATATGCTTTGACTATGGTCTTTTCGACTTGGACAGTGGCGACTTCCAGGTATATTTTTGGATGCACTGGTAATTCACGATAGTTTGAGTATTTCCAATTGCCGCGCGCAAATATTATACGAGTATATACAAATCTCATTTACGTACTGTTAAAACAAACATGTTCACCAGAAAGATCCTAACAGTGCAACCATTGAAGCATTTTTCAATAAAATACAGCTGCCGCTTGGTGTTTGATGTGATATTCTGAATGTGTTCCGACAAGATATGTGCGGCTTGTAACAGCCTCGACGGTATGATCAAAAACGTTCCGAACGCTTTCCAATAAGTTTGAGGTCTTTTCGAAGTACAGCGGAGTTCCTGGTCGTATTGTAGTGTCATCTGCAAAGGCGGAAGACATTGAAGAAAGTTGTACGAGCAGATCGTTTGTATATAAGAGAAAGAGTATCGGCCCTAGAGCAGATGCTTGCGGTACTCCACTAGTAACAGGATGGCTAAAGGAGTAGCTCTCTCCAACACAGATTGAAAATGTTCTTTCTGTAAGTAAACTACCCCTAATTCTAAGATGATTGCGCTTGTGAAGGAGCCTTTTATGAGGAATCTTATCAAAGGCTCTGGAGAAGCCCACAGGCTCATTTGCATCTAAAGATCTGGTCCAACCGTTAAGGCAGTAACAGCATGTTAGTGTCTATAGGTCTTCCAGAAATAAAACCGATGTAGGCTGCTAGGTAGCAGGAAGTTCTTGAATGCAAATGACATATACATATTTTATTAACGTGTTGTACTATAGTGGAAAATAGTCTATACCCCATTCGTAGTACATTTACGCCCAGACAAAACACAACATGCCCAAAAGCGAGAATGTACAGGTCGGTATTTTCCTCAATGGTCTTGGAATAATCGAACAAAATAAATGATTATTTTTATAGAAAGAAGTGCAGATATTTTTCACAATTCTTTATTTGCTAGAAGTACTTGAATCATCGTCCGAATGGTTAATATCAATTATTAGAGGTTCATTTTGAATATCGATCATATTCTCCAGATCCCACATCTTTGTTTCGATTGTCTCTTGAATGGATGCAATCTTTCCTTGGTTTGCCGTCACGCTGTTGACAGCTTCATGAAACAAATTTTTCACGCCAGAAAATTTGAATGTTCTATTGTTTGAAGCCATATAGTTTTTTATATTTGGCCAAATCATTTCAAAGGAATTTAATTCGCAGTGATTAGGGGGTAGCCTTGAAACAGCCTGACTAGATGGATAAGTTTTGCTTTAACCATATTTTCATTTAAACTAATATCTTTTGATATGAGTCATTGTTGAATTTCTGCCTTTCTTGTGGACATTGTAGGAGTTTTTTCTAGTGTGATATGCAGCATTATTAAGTACCGACGGCGGCATTGTCGTCAAGCTTTGGGAGCGTTTCTTCAAACCATCGTTCAAATCAACTCCCGTCCATTTCTTCATGGTAGTCGGTCGTTTTCTTTAACTCAAATGCCCATAGGGCAGTGGGCACAAAGCAGTATTCACTGCCAATGCGACAAATAACAAATCGGTTTCCTTTCCTGGTAATAATTATTTCATATAGTATTCAAGAAAACTAATAATACAAGCAGAGTATCCAACAGGTATATCTAAGATATATCTAAGTTTAGAGTAGCTAAGTTTTCAGCGTGGGCTCATGGATACAGTCTACTTGACACCATTTCTACAACACACATGACGAATTGGTTAGGTACACGTACCTGACGGATTCTGTATTGATTGTATTTTAAATAATTTCTTTTCCATAAAATAATATCTTGACTGTCCATCAAAATACTATTTCTGTCCCGTTTTCTATACTTAAAATGAAGTTTTTTGAGTAAAGTATAGAATGTGGTCCTTTTGAAACTAGGTAAGTCTTCATCACTATTAACCTCCTGTAATACTTTGTCTATGGTGGAAAGTTCCTGCCTTTCAAAAAATTGATGGACATTGCGTCTGATTTCATTCCGATCAAAGATATCAACTGTATCCAACAGCTTCGTGTAATGCAGCCTCTTGTGAGGTGGAGACAATCTTTTGTATATTCTTTAACAATGTTGAAAATTGTCTTAGGACATAAGCCTGTCTTGTTCGCCACACGTCTTTCAATAACATGAATTTTCATTTCAGGATGCTCTAAAATTTCGATCTTATTAACGTTAAGGACTATTTCGTTTGCCTGAATATTCAAACGTCCCTTCTTGTCATGTTTTCGGGGAGGAGACATCACTGAAGAGGAAGCAACCCCTAAAATTTTCCTAAAAATGTCCAGAAGCAAATTGAATCATCAAAAAACGAAGTTTGAGCGATTTTGTTTTTTGTGTTTTTGCCCCTAGTTCCGGTACCACTAGACTAAATTCTAAAAACTGATAAGCTTATTCGTACTTGGTATAGTTCGAGAAGTAACCTTGTGCGAAAATTTCATCCAAATTCGAGCACTACTTTCCAAGTTAAAGGCGGCCCAAAGATTAGCGGACAGACCGACAGAATTGAGTGACATGGCTTTTCGTAATTTACATGTCATATAAGATCTCTAAAACATAATATCTGATTTCAAATTTTGATGCACCCTTATCTCTAATACACAATTGTAGATATAAATAAGACGCATCAATTTTGATCACGAATATATATCTGGGAAATAACACTGACATTATGCTAATAAGAGTGAAATATAAGACATGTCCGCAGAAATAAAAATGATACCTCCTTACAATTTTATTGAGTACAAAGATTTTTCCATCATTTTTTAAAGGTAGACATATTTTTTGGGAAGCAGTTTTCGCCCACGAATAAGACTTCCACAAACTTTTCTGTAAGGCCTACTCTTACGCTTTTCTTGGAGACAATTTTTGCCGCACTGGCGTTAAACTTTGCATGTGGATTGTAATTTGATACCAAAATCTGCGCTCATCCCTTACAAGCTTTTACTCAGTGTCAAGAACTCAGATTTATTACTTTAAAGACCTCTTGTGTGGTGGAGACAATTTTTTGTTTTTTCTTACGATATATTTTTTGACAATGTTGAAAATTGTCTTAGGACATAAGCCTGTTTTGTTCGCCACACGTCTTTAAATCTCACGAAAAGAGGAAGCATGGCCGAAGGAAACATTGGGGGAAATATTCTTAGTTTCATCTGCTGTATCCGTAGATGACATGCTAACTTATAAACACACGCTATGTATACACCGAATATAAACAGCAACTGCCGGCGTCGGTGTGCCGGTATACCCCGAGCCTGAGTTCTATCCTGTCGAATCCTGCACTTGTTCGTAGTTTTATGGTCGAATGACCAATAGCTATTGCAACGCTTAGGCGGCTGCCGCATTGCCGCGCTGCATCTTCGTTGTGCCGGGGCGTAAATGGACTACGAATAGGGTATAGTGATCGGTGTAATCAATGTTCAATAATTTTTTCTCATTTCCAGAAAACAATGTATGGCGCCAACGTGATAATCTTTGAGGGCATATTAACCTTCCACCACCCCAAAGTAGTTGAGATGCTTGACATGAAAATCTTCGTGGACACAGATGCTGACGTCAGACTAGCGAGGCGTCTCAAAAGGGACATCAGCCAAAGAGGCAGGGACCTTGATGGAGTATTAAAGCAATATACGGGAATGGTACAACCTTCTTTCAACCACTACATCGCACCTCTGATGAGCCATGCTGATATTATCGTCCCTAGGGGTGGGGAGAATGAGGTGGCTATACAGCTGATTGTGCAGCATGTACAAACTCAGTTGCAACTGGTGAGTGGCATGTGATGTTTTTCATGTTTTGTTCAAATCGTTAAAACGAATAAGAAAAGTTACAATTAAGTACTGCTTATAATTTATATTCATTTATCACACAAAGAATAATGTTGATATTTCAGTATACAGAGTGTTTTATAACTCTGGTACAAAACTTGAGAGGATAGTAGTAGTAGTAGAAAGATGTATTTAGCACATTTGGCTACATAAACAGAATAATTGTAAACAACTTGGAACTAGTAAATTCAAGCCATATGGTGTATGATGTAAATGCTGGGCAACCTATAATTGTAGATTTAACAAGTGGTTTTTCAATTTTACTTTAAATTTTGTCAAAGTTTTCTGGTCTTTTATCTCCGAGTATAATTTATTATATTCAATCAACCCTTGATGGAATACAGATTTGTAGCATATGTTATACTTTTTGGTCATTAAATAGAAGTCATCTTTATTTCTGGTATTATGTAAATGCTGGTCGACATTTGATGATGTTAAATTAGTTAGACTTGATGGAAATATATTATTTTTTTCTTTATAAATGAATATCATTACAAGATATTTGATAAAATTTTTTACATTGAGCCATTTTAATTTGCTAAGCATTTGCCTAATTGGAGTATATTTATCTTTATTTAGTATTATTCTCATGCACTTATTTTGTAAAATTTGCAGTCTTTCAAAAATGGAATTATTTGCTAAATATAGAATAGTCGAACAGTACAAGAAATTTGGAAGAATGATGGTATTATAGATAATTTTCCTGCTATATGAACTCAGACATCCAGAAACTCTCGATAAATATCCCACTTTACTACTAATCTTATTTATAACTTTTTCATAATAAATATCAAAAATTAATCGAGAGTCAACAAAAACCCCCAGGTATTTAAAATTTTCTACGAATTCAATATCTTCACCATCAATATTCAGTTGAACATTACTTGCATTTAATTTTAGTCTGTTAGATGCTAACCATTTTGAGACAAGCTTCAAGTCTTCATTTATATAAGAGATACCAGACTGAATATTTTTAGTACTTATATAAATCATAGTGTCATCGGCGAAAATCTGAATTTTGCATTTTTTGACTATGACAGGTAAATCATTTATGTATAAAATAAAAAGAAGTGGTCCCAGGATACTGCCCTGTGGAACACCCAACGTATTTTCAATTTTTGATGAAATAGTGTCATTAACTTTTGTAACTTGCATCCTTTTAGACAAATAATTTCTAAACCAATCTAAAACACTTCCTGTTATACCATATGCCTTCAATTTACCTAACAAAATATCTCTATCAATTGTTACAAATGCCCTCTTCAAATCAAAAAATACTGCTATGACAACTTCTTCTGAGTCTAGGGCTCTTCTCCAATTCTCAGTTACCAACTGGAAAGCCGTTTCTGTGGAATATTTTTTCGAAAGCCTGCTTGCGCCTCCACTAAAATTTTGTTTTCTTCTATAAACTGCATTAATTGGTCATGCACTTTGGACTCTAATAATTTTTCAATGTCTGGTAACACATTTACTGGTCTCATATCGCTGCATCTTTTAGAATTTTTTATTTTGGGAACTGGTGTTATTGTAGAGCATTTTAAATGTTCAGGAAAAGAACTGCTTCTCAGTGAACAATTGATCCAATTTAATACAGGATATCCCAAAATTTCGAAACAGTTTTTCAGCACGTTTTTAGTAGTGATTTCGGCACAGTTGTTATTTGATTTTAAACTGTTTACTTTTTTTCTTAGATAATTCAATGATACGCTGTGAAATTTTGAAAGTGTATACAACATTTTCCCCTGGAAACTGATTTTCATATAGTCAGGTGCAGCATTGGCAGTACCCACAATATCAACAATACTTTCCACAAAATATTCATTTAGTTTGTTTGCAATCACCAAAGAATTTGTTTCGGTACCGTTTTCGAATTGAACTTGATTTACACAATCATGCGGCTTCGAATTGATCAGTCTTTTTAAAGTCTTCCACATCTTTACACTGTCGCACTTGTTATTATCGATTTGTTTATCGTAGAATTTCCTTTTTTCTTCTCCAATTACATATACACATTTATTCCTAAGAGTTTTATATACCTCCCAATCATCATTTGATTTTGTGAATATACATTTATTGTATTGTTTGTCTCTCAAGTTTTGAGCTGCCTTAATATTCTTGTTATACCAGGCTGTATTTTTTGTCAAGCAAATTACTTTTTTATCAGTTGCAAGATCTAAACAAGTTTTTATATTTCCTATTATGTTGTCATATATTTTTTCCATATTCTCACCAAAATTCCAATAGCAGCCAGCAAGTTCTCGTTCAAGTTTTTCGTATTTAATAGTATTTACGATTTTCTTAATTTTTGTATCAGAAAAATGCCCTACCAAAGGCAGCATTGTCAAACTGTGATCCCTATCTTTAGGTGTATGTACAGCTTTAATCCCTGCACGTTCGAAATTTACAATAACAAGATCTAACAAAGTCTCTGATAATGATGTTATTCTAGTACTCTCTTCAATTTTTTGCTTGAACCCATAGTTGTTTATGGTTTCTTTCAATTTTCTTGTTTTCATGCTTTTACCATAATAATTTAAATTAAAATCACCTAAAAGTATTATATTGTTTCTAAAATTCCACATTTCTTCGCATTTTTCTTCAAAAAACGTTAAAAATGTATCCGCATCACTGTTTGGTGAACGGTAAAAAGTACAAAGATCATAACGTTTCCCAAATAATTTGAACTGTATATGTGCATACCAGTATGCATAGTCTAAAGTGGTACAATCGAATAATGTGATCTGTATTTTGTGGTAAACATAAATCACTACACCTCCAGTATGTCTGGAGTTGGAGTTGCATCTGTAGGTTTTATAATTAGTAATTTGTAATTCACCGTCAGTGATTCATTAGATCATTTTCAGGCAAAAAGTGTCCATGAACATATGCTGAAGTTTAAAAAAAAGGTTATTTATAAAACATAAATATCCTTAAATTGATTTGGTTGAAATTTGGTGCAACCATTTGAAGTAATAAGATGCTTATTTAGCTCTAACTAGATTGAAATTATTAGACCCAATAGTATCTCAGTGGGCACCACAGCCATATTATTGAGAGAAAAAGTATACCAATACTTTTTTTTTTAGTTTAGTTTTTATATTTTCCTTGAATAAGGTTAATTCCGTGAAGAAGAAGCCATATTTTCAAGACTTTTTTTTGTCAATACTAGTAATGCTGAACAACATTTGAACAACATTCTTCCGAAGTTTCAATGTGAAATCTCTATTAATAAGCCGTTGACAGCAGTCTCCCAGACTTTGCGTAAAAAAATTCGTTTTTGCAAAGTCAGTGTCATGCAGCCTAGCAAAGATGCCCAAGTTGTACCTCCCATTATGATGGAAACTGTGAATCTGAACCCATGTATATATGAATTTTTTTTCATATTTTCACGAGCAGAATCTGCTATCACCTTCTCCTGACAACATCCTGTATGAATACAATCGCAAATACACAAAATATAAGTATTACATTTTAATCGCCGAATGAAGATAATTACACATGATTTTAAATTTCAGAGAGGGCTGAAACTGAGAGAAGAGCTAGTGGCAGCATACGCTTCAAATAAACAACCACGTCCAGACACCATCAAGCTTCTTCCTACCACTCCACAGATCCGTGGATTGCACACCTTTATAAGAAATAAGGACACTCCAAGAGACGAATTTATATTTTATAGTAAACGGCTCATAAGACTCGTCATTGAATATACACTTTCTTTGATGACGTTTGTCGATAAGTCTGTTGAAACTCCTCAGGGCGTTGTATATCATGGTAAGAACCTCATACATTGAGTATCACTTATTGTGACCAGTGATAGCAATATGGATCTCTTCACCGATTTTGGCAGGTCACAGTAAAACTACTAGTATCACTTTCATGCCTTCATCTTTCTCACACATACACATGCAATGTACCTCTGTATGCAGTGGTTTGTTCATTTAAGCTACTGGCGGGGAAGTATTGTAATCGCGAAAAAATCGATGATTCGATATTATAGGACATGTAGCTACATCACGAAAACCCGTCAGTCTGTCTGTCCAAAAATCCTTGGCTCGTCTATAATTTTGACAGTACTAATCGGATTTGGATGAAATTTTTACATAAGATTACTACGATTCCAAGGTTGAAAAAGGTATGTAGTTTTTGAAAATCGGAGCTTGGAGCAAAAACATGAAAAAAATAAAAATCGCTCAAACTTCGTTTGTTGTCGTTTCAGAGGCTAGTGTCCATTTTCAGAAAAAGTTTTCTAGGGGCTGAAATTCAGGCGTTGACGGTTGTCCGGATTAGGGAGGGTATAAGAAAATTTTTGGATGTTAGTATATTTATATGCTCCCAAGCCCAGCAATCCTATGCACCTAATACCCATATTTCACACGTCACAAACGGTGATAAAATCAACACATCCTGAGCTATTGTTAATTTGCGACAGCGAGCGGTTGGAAAACGTAACAAACACGCTAGCGCTATATAGGTACTGACTGAAATCGCTCATCTATGATCATGGAGGTGGAAACCTTGCCTTGGAATACACGAGATGCGGTGTTGCCAAGCGAACCAATGATGTCATGTTGCAGAATTTGTGGCGATTCTGACCTTCAGAATCGATCTTAAACAGATTCGATACAATTCAAAAATGTGTACGCACAAAATAAACCCATCATTTAGACGTAGATAATAAACTAACGCATATTTTCAACATGCATTTTAATTCAACTGGTTTAACATACTGGCAACGCGGCAGATCTCCGCGAAAGCGTTGCTAGCCAATGCGGTGTTGAGCTTTGCTATCCAGCCGGCTTCTGTCCCTTTCTCTAACACACACGTATGTGTCCATACACTTCTCTCGTCGTACATATTGAACTCAAGCTGTTAGACAAATTTGGTTTCCCGTGTATGTTCAAATTGACCTATCCAGAGTCTGCCAGCGCAAAATCGACGGGCAGAACGCCTTCGATGTCTGTCGAACGTTATTGATGTAGCCGTGAACCCCTTGCGTGGTCGCGTAGCAGATGTACGAAGGCGTCTCATAACGTTCTTAGTCTACGAGGGCGCTACAATACAATCAGTGGACAACATCTATAAAATTTGCTACATTTCCAGAAAGCGAATAAAAACAATAGGACTCTATTAATAACTTCTGTAAGAGCGAGTAGCAGCTGCGTTCAAGATCGGTTTGTGCAATTAAACTCATTTAGGAAAGTTACGCTCTCTCCGTGGATTACTCAGTTAATCTATATGTTACCGGCAATCTGTATAATACGGTATTCTATACAATATCTAGATGATGTATAGAATACCTAAGACGTGCAGGCAATGTATGTAATATTATTTGTTTTACACTTTGCCTAGGTATTCTATGCAACACCGAATGCGCAGCCAGTAATGTATGTAAAAGACTAGAGCAAGGAACGGCTTGAACGTACCGGCAGGCAAACAATAAACGTATTGCGTACTTGTAAGCAGAGAAAATTACATTATGTAACTTATACCCAGAATAATGTTTAGTTTCACGTTAATTTACTGTGACTTTACTGTAGTAACAGAAAAGTGTTTTTTGTACCCTTTTCATAGGGCTTATTTTTAAGGAGCACTCTAATTGTTAACTTTTTTTAAAGTTTATTTTAAATAATATAACTTGTTTCATCTGCCCGTCATTTTATAGGTATGCGGGTTAACATTGATAAATTTAGACCAAGTTCTATTAATTTTACACATTGCTGGTGGAATAGCACGTACTCTATACAATCCCTAGGAATTGTATTCATTACCCAGGTAAAGTATGTAATGGATAATAATATTCATAATATTTCATATGTTGCCTGGGCAACCCAGGTATCCTATACATTCCCTAGGTTTTGTATGACGTCGATATGTAATAGCTAAGACGCTTTGTAAAGAACACTGCATTTTATTTATATATTGAACCTTTTTTCAATTTGAAGGTAAACGAATGGCTACAAATAATATCTGTGGTGTGTCAATTCTGAGAGCAGGAGAAACGATGGAGCAAGCAGTATGTGATGTCTGTAAGGATATTAGGATAGGAAAAATTTTAATACAAACCAATCTACAAACTGGAGAGCCAGAAGTAAGTATTCACTGAATATATAAAAGTGTTCTAAGTCGTCAATATCTTATTGCTGTGCCACTTGGCAACCAGTGCAAATTTTGGTAATCAGTAACAAGATGTTATTGGCGTGATCATGATAGATAGGTTGATGAGCGGGTAAAATGGTGGTGATCTGGACAGTGACCTTGACTACTGCCTTCAAGGTGCCAAGTCATCTGAATATTTTTAAATTGAAGTCCCCCTTTTCACATTGTAATTGAAATGAGGAACAACATTAACGTCTGAACATCACCTTGACCATGGCCTTGATCATTGCATTCAAGGTCAAATCGACATCGAAAAAATGTTCAGCGCATTTGTGAGGATCACCAGAAAATGACATTGGCCATGACCTTCAAGGTCAAATCAAAATTCCCAAAGAAAACCTCTCATTTTTATACTGGCAAGAAATTTCTCGTCCGAATGTGAACTTGACCTCAAAGTCAAGGTCATGTCAAGTTTAAATGTTATTCGAAGTCAAGGTCACATACGGATGTAAAATATCCTGTTGCCAGATGCACTACCAGTAGGGCAGTGAAAGAATGTCTATGGATGGATATGTTTGACTGACTTTTTTCTTAGAGGGCCTAGTTTGTGCTAAACATAATCTTTTATGAACTCATAATGGCGTTGCGTGTTAAGTGCAGAATCAACCTACTTGACGCAATTTTGAGGAACGGGAATGTCTACCCCAGGCGGTCCTAGGCTATGCTGGTTTTGAGTGGTGCCATCTTAAAATTCGGAATGATGACTTCGCGAAATCTCAGCATGTTACGGCTCTTTCAGACTATTGTAATAACACTGTATACTAATGTAATAATGAAAAGGAGAAACAAACAAAGTGTCATTGTACTGAAGAAGATCACCTTCAAGATTGAAACGTTTACAGTAAAGATTTGTCAATACATGTGGTTTTATTGGACAGACAAATATGTTGTCTTACGGTTTCCCCAAACGATTTTGCTATTATTTCATAGTAGTCTCATCATATTAGCATATAGCGAAATAATTGTCAAGTCTGGTTTTATTGATGTATGTTGTTCAATGGGGTATTTAAAACATGGACGCATAAAATGGGTACACCAATTTTTGTGGGAAAACTTTTTATTCGACAATAAAAATGAGAAAACGTGTTTTTTGGGATTCAATCGAAAGTGCTGCCCGGAACCAAAGAACTCATCAAATAGTATAGGTATTTATGAGACCTATAGAATGAGACCACACGTAAAAAGATCCAACCAATAGTAAGGAAGTTATGGCCGAAAATCGATGCAAAATGCCGGTTGTGGCTCTTGTTGCTATTGCGACAATAATTTCACGCAGCTACTTGAAATTTGTCAAATTTGTATGCTTCATACTTATAAATATCCACAACAAAATTGGAGTCGATTGATCTAGTGGTTTTTGAGAATTTCTAATTGTTTATCCCAAAACATCTATCTTCCGGCGATCGCTACTAGTTTACTTAGCAATATAGAGGTTTCGCTCAAAGAGCATTTTATAGCAAAATACAAGAAATAAAAGCAGACTTTACAATTAGTTCGCAAACCAGGGGTATTTTCATCTAATATGATTAGATTATAGAGTAAGTAGGAAATAACGTTTTTGTCTTCCAGTTATATTACCTGCGTCTGCCCAAGGACATCAAAGACTACAAAGTCATCCTGATGGACGCTACCGTTGCCACCGGCGCAGCCGCTATAATGGCCATCCGTGTCCTTCTCGACCACGACGTGCTGGAGAGCAACATCCTCCTCGTATCCCTGCTGATGGCCGAATCGGGGGTCCAGTCCATCGCGTACGCCTTTCCAAAGGTCACCATTGTCACGACGGCCATCGATCCTGAAATCAACGGACGGTTTCACGTGATGCCGGGCATCGGCAACTTCGGTGACAGGTACTTCGGCACGGAGCCGAACTGTTAGAAGTCCGGATAAGGGTTGGAACCCCCCCTAGAGGTCTAGATTCGAGTTTGGTTGATGGTCTTGCAAGGTTGCCAGGTCAACTGTAGATTCATTAACATTAGACAATTTATCAAATCGGGTATTTTGTAGGTACTTGAGGAAGCAATTTAGTTGAGGACGTTGGATATTTTTGCGTCCCACGCATAATCGAGAGAAGTATCGTAGACATTTTTTTGTTACATTATGAAAGTCGTGTAACTCGATAGGGAATATGCATGATTTTTTCCTTATTCGTTGGACTGTCGCTTGCCATTTTATTTTCCACGCCAATTGGCGAGGAAGTATTGTAATCACGAACGATCTCGAAAAAATTTTTTGGATGTTAGGTGACATGTACATCACATAAAACAATGTCACACATTCTCGTCTGTTTGTCTGTCCGCTAATCCTTGGCCCCTCTAGAACTACCATGCCAAGGACGAAAAATCTTTGTATTTTTTTTTTAAAATTGATCCGGTGGCGATGGAGGTACCGGCAAAAACGTAAAAAACCAATTTCGACGTTTCAGGTATTCCTGCCGTCTTTTCAGTTTTTTGGCCTTTAATATATTTATGCGATTCTAACCCCGGCAATTCCATGCACCATTAGTCATATACAATTTACGACTAAATGAACCCTTGAAAACGCGCAACGAAAATATGAGCGAACACAAAACAGTACTACAACGTTCTCGAACTTTGTATTTGCATATTCTGCTTCTTGGTAATGTTTGGACTAAAAGGATTATTTTGATCATTTTAGGGAGCAATTAAAAAATAAATCGAGAGTCTCGAAATATTATATATACATAAGCCAAATATGTAGATTACTTGTTTTCTCGAAGTTTTATATTTCATATCTAATCATCATAAAATCACATGAAAAAAACTGGCACAGATATATTTTGTTCGATAACATGCCAAAACGTATATATTTTGACTTTTACATACTACGCTCGATTTCTAAAAAAAATATCAGGATTGACATCAATCACAAGTTAGAAAACAGTATCGACTGTCAGTATGAGAAACGTGAATGAGTGAGAATTGAGATAAACTTGACTTCTTACTTTAGTTTGTTCGTAGCAAGGGGGTGTAAGAATGGGTGTGGTGTCAACTGCAGTATTATCAATATTCGCAATATTGCGATTCAGCTAGGCTAGCAATAAAAACGTTTATCATGGGGCTCACTTTGGCATTTAGGTATACACGTTTCATTTACTTCATAGGTTTTTATTAGTGGGATTTTTCTAGGGTTATTTGAATACACAATACATAACATTTTTTGACCTGACAACCTTGTAGTGGGTTCAGTTATGCATTACATTGTGTCATTTCTAATAATTCATGGAAACGAGAAGATCTGACTTTTACTTTTGTGGATAATAGATCTACCAGATAAATTGTGTATTGCACAACTGCCGGTGGGTTTGGTATTTGTTATTTATAACAGTGTCTTGATGTTTTTTGGTGATATTTTGTGTTATATAGACACCAATATCAGTGATATATAAGGCAAATTATGCCTTACAAACGATACTTAAGTCAATGTTAGTATTATCTGTTATTTATTTTGAATAAGAGCATTGATGCATTTCTTTGAGTAGGAATTTAGTTTTCTTCTTTATCAGAGATATAAGCCTGATATTCCTTGACCAATGCACACTACTTTAAGGATCTAGTTGACTATCGTGAAATACAGATTCTGAAATATAGAGATACGTTTTTGTAGAAAATTCAATCATAGAATTATATTTTTTACCAATGATTATGCACAATTACAAATATTTGTTGCTGGAATCGTACCCAATGCAATTATTGAATTATTGAGAATGTTTTCAATATATTCTGAGCTGGATGTTTGAATCTTTATACAGATACTGATTTTTCATAAACATGTTGTCTATTACGCATGATACTTTTTCAATGTGTTTACTGTAAATGGCTATGTGAGGAATAAAGTATTGAAAAGCATTTTGTATTTTTGTAAATGTACTTTCTTCATTTTCATCATCATTCATGAAACTCATTTGTACCTTAGGATAAATGTATCATTTGAAAAAATATGCATTGAATTCAGAAGAATATTCAGCGCTTATTCAGAAGGTTTTGGTTGCTGTCAAGGCATTCTTTCCTACTTGTCTCTAGAATTCCGTACTTGGATCTACGTTTTCTAATCAGAAATAAACATTTACCAATAGCGCGAGTTACTAGATTTCAAAGTATTTGTAAAATGAATATGAAACGCACGAATACTAGATATAGGAGGTTAAATTGAGTAAGGAATACATGTATTCATATGAAGCCAGTCCTGTCGACAAGGATGACGTAGCTCTCGGAAAAATGTCGACAAAACATGCAATCTTTGCATTTCACTCACGCTTTGCAATGCTTTAAAGGTTCATTACTTCGTGGTTTATTAATAATAACCAATATTTCTGGTCGCAACTCGTCCGAAGTGTCAAAATTAGAGTTGTTTACAGACATGATGACAGCAACAGAGTGATGCCCAGTGATGGGCGCATTGTATACACCTTTCTATACGCGTATACATTGGTGAATATATACGTCTCGATTTATAATGTATAAAATGTATATAATGAATACAATAGTAAATCATAGTTCAACTGCTTGCATACACTGCTGGCGAAAGTCCCTTTCCCTTTTAGGTTTTTATGTGTACGAGGAAGAGAGAGAGGGGGAGAAGCGGGCATCACTTGTGTAGAAAGTGTGTGCCACACATTTTGTTGCCTGGCACAACAGTGATGAAGGCCACAGAACACAACTGTAACTTGCTGCAACGCCTTGTTTTCTACGCTCAAATACACATTTCTGTCGAATCTGTTTAGGATCATCCAGATCGATCCTAATGGTTCTCCGATTTTAGGTGGAACTGAAAGTTCAGGATAGATACAAATTCTGCAACATTGCATTATTGGTTTGACTGTGGAAGCAGTTTATAAATAATGACAAAATATATATTTATTTATATACGTATACAAAGATACAGTTTTAAATAAAGAACAACAAATGAACCCTTGTTCATCGATTTCTTTGTTCTTGGAGCGTCCAACCATCTCTAGTCTTTGTTTTGAAACGTCATGATCATTTATTTAAAATAGGTTACGGTGAATGATACTGTTGAATGGAAATATTCAAATGTTATTAAAGCAGATGTACTGGATAGTAGTAAAAAATTTTATACTCGCCTTGTTTGAGAAAGCCATGATTGATATCAGCCATTATATCTCGGGCTCGACCAATAATGGCTTACTTTTCTAACTAGGTATTTAATAATAATAATAATAAATCTTTATTTCAAAATAACAGTGCATGATTACAATGTATTACATACTGTTGGGTGAAATATACATCACAGTGTCATCAAGACAGAAAAAACAAAGAGGCAAAACATATAATAGAGATATTACATTTCAAAATATTCTTGAAGGTCATATGGTTCTAAGTGCATTAACAATTGATAAATACTCTTATATTCTTTTATATCTGCCAACCTTTTAATTTCTTGTGGTAACTTATTATACAGGGTGGCGCATCGAAAACGAAGCAGACGCATTTACTGGCAGCTCAGTTTTTTTTTTTTTGGACAAACGCTCAGACCCGTCGATTTTGTTTTCTAGGGGATACAAGTTTGGCAAAAAATCACTTTAACACGTGCAGCCCCCTGGGCGGGGGGTGACACCAACCCTAAAATCTTAAATGGAAAGGGGGGTCGAGTGATACCTTATTTTAAAGGTCTTTCAATTCCCTTTATAATGATGTAAAATACATGAGCTTCAGTTCAGTAGTTTTGAAGATTTATTGATTTAAAGCTTAAAGTAGACTTTAATAGGTACATCAGATTAGTTTGTACTACTTTCAGAAGAAATTTGACTAAAAGAATTATAAATTAGCGACATGAGAACAGTAACGTGCATCGAAAATATGTTCTAGAACTTGTAGCTAAATTTCGGGAAACTGGGTCAGTCGCCAATAAAAAACGCCACATTGAAAATACCATAAAGAACGAAGCAATAGCAGTGGGAGTTTTAGGGCAAGTTTATGTAGATCCTACGTTAAGTACCCGCAAATTGGAGACTGTGTGTGGTGTTAGTCAACGTACTGTCCAACGGATTCTAAAGGCCCATAGTTTTCATCCATATAAAATTCACCTGGTACAAGAACTTAATGAAGACGATTTTGATCGGCGATTACAATTTTGTGAAGATATGAGTGAACGAATTATAAACGATGAACATTTTCTATTCAACACTTGCTTTTCCGACGAATGTTCCTTTTTCTTAAATGGCATAGTAAATCGTCATAACTGCCGATATTGGTCCGATTCTAATCCCAGAATTTATCATGAGGTTCACACACAAGAGCCACAAAAATTAAACGTTTGGGCTGGTATTTTTGGCGATCATTTAGTAGGTCCTTTTTTCTTACCTGGAAATTTGACCGGTCATATATATTTGGAATTATTGGAAGACGCCATAGATCCTGCATTAACAGTCATAATTGAAAATCAGAATGATCGGCGGTACATTGCGAATAGGTTGATGTTCCAACAGGATGGTGCCCCACCACATTACGCATTACGTGTTCGAAAATATTTAGATCAGATGTTTCCAGATCGATGGATTGGTAGAAGAGGTGCCATTAAATGGCCCCCAAGATTGCCAGATTTATCACCTTTGGATTTCTTTATGTGGGGTCATTTAAAAAGCAAAATCTATGCTACTCAGCCAACATCATTAGAAGACCTGCGACAAAAAATTGTGAATGAGTGCCTTCAAATTACTCCTCAAATATTTCAAAATGTGCGGCAACGTTTTGAGCAAAATCTTTATTATTGCATGGAGAGTCATGGTGGCCATTTTCAACGTTTACTTGCCTAACGGGTCAGTTCATTCTTCATTTTTAAATTCCTTTGCTGCCAAATGTATTGATCTCCACTAATGATGATGTATTAGTTTTATTTAAGCTTTAAATCAATAAATCTTCAAAACTACATGAATTGAAGTACATTAATTTTATATCATTATAAAGGGAATTGAAAGACCGTTAAAATAATGTATCACTCGACCCCCCTTTCCATTTAAGATTTTGGGGGTGGTGTCACCCCCGCTTAGGGGGCTGCACATGCTAACGTGATTTTTTGCCAAACTTGTGGCCCCCTTGAAAACAAAATCGACAGGTCTGAGCGTTTTAAAAATAACTGAGCTGCCAGAACCTTTTTCATCTCGTGCCACAAAGTTTCAATAGGTGACAGATCTGCACTGCTACAAACCCATTTCAAAAGTGGTACATTATTTTCTTCCATCCATTTTGTAGCCTTTTTTGAGGTATGGCACGCTGCACCATCTTGCTGAAACGCAAAATCTTGGCCGGATGTCAAACATTCTTCCATCACTGGTAAAAGAGATTCTTCTAAAATTGCCAAATATTTGTTTGTGTCCACATTTCCATCAATAAAATGAAGTTTTCCTACTCCTTTTGATGACATACTGCCCCAGACTATAATGGATGCTGGAAATTTCACTTATCTCTTCAGGCAGTCAACATGGAATGCTTCATTTTTTTGCGAATAACTCTACTGCGACTGTCACCAACACAAACTTCGAATCGGGCCTCATCACTCCATTGTATTGCACACCATTGTTGAGGTGTCCATTGTCTATGTCCTTTAGCCCATCTAACAAAATTTTTCTTTTGCAGTGGAGTTAATAGTGGCTTTTCTTTGGCCTATAAACAAGTTGTGCAACTTTAGGGTTTTTACTTCACTTTTTTTTTATAAGAAAACTTACCTTGCAAGTGCTAAATCCCAGTTTGTGGGCCTGTCTATGAGTTTTGGACCTCGAAATTCTTCCAACAGCATCACTCCATAGAGCACTTAATTGTAAATAATTGGCACGCCTGTTTTTCACGATTATTCTTCTTAATGCTCTTCGGTCGGCATTTCTGATATTACTTTTTTTCACATATCGTGGCTTAATATTAACTAAACCAGTTACGTTATATCTTCTAACAATATTTCTCAGAATTAAAAAATTTAATTATCACTAACCGAATTTTCTCACTAATAACCTTTCCTCTACCCATTTTGAAAACCTTAACTACCCAAAACTATTTTAAACGTATTCTGACAGCTGTGATTAATAAAAACAATTGTCATGGCGTTATAGACTTATTTTGCATTGAAATGAAAATAGGTTGATATGCTGTAATTGCAACATGTGTTATTTTTATGCTGCAAATTTGATTAGGGTGTGATAAAGTTGGTGTTTTCTACTATATATTATCAAAATATTCATTGTTAATATTTTAAATCTATAACACCCTGCTACATTTTTATTGTTTGTGTTTGATAAGAAAAAAAAACTAAGATTTCAATAGTTGGGCCAACTGAAGTGGGAAGGGGCTCGTATATCGCTCCACCGAGAACCTGATACTCGGTATTCGAATTTGGATCTCTAGTTGAGAGCATTAGTGGTTAGCAGCACCGCAATATATAAGCTCGTTTGCTCGAAGGTACAGCTGTCAGTTGAAGTTGGAATCTTCTTGTGGAATATATTAATGCTACATGGTACACCTGAGATGAACTTTGACACAACTCTCTAAAAATACTTTTTATTACAAAGCAACTTGATAACAATTGAAATAAATAATAATAACAAAGCTATTAGCACTTTCTTATCGACATTGCCTTCCAGCTTAACGCCAGATACTTGTCCTTTTTCTAATGGCTTTGTCAATCCAGGCATTTTGATTTCATCCAGTGGTTCCCCAATCATTGAAAACTTTGTAGCCTTGTTTATTTTTACCTTCACCAATTTTCCCAGAAATTCTTTCCTCATAGGTATCAACACTTGTTCATAGAACTCATTGTGAGTCACATAATGCTTCTTATCATGTGACACTTCAGTAGCTAACACCTCTTGAATCTCCCCAATTTTATGATCATATGGTTGGTAGGTATAGAAAAGATCAGTGAGTCTCTTTGTCCTCTGTTTCACTTCTTGTGTAGGCACTTTTGGTAGAAGCGACGCTGGTGTTCCAGGCCTTGGGAAAAATTGGTTGATGAAAAGGCTAGGAAAATTGTATTTATTGCATAGGTTTATTGTATCTTCAAAGTCTCGTTCAGTTTCGGTGGGAAATCCACAGATGATGTCAGTTGCTATAGTTATACCAGGCACTCTGGAAATAAAATAAATAATTGACAAAGGTAGCTTGAAATTTTAACATCTGCAAATCCCTATTTTGGCGGCAGTTATCCGTATAGACCACCACAGTGATACATTTGTCAGATGACATTGTGGATTATTTTGAATCTTAGAATCACTGATACTTTTAAGCACTTATACCTGCTATATTTACAAACTGTTTAGTTTATGTTTTCTTATACACTATCTAATTTTGTATTTGGATAAAATTTTCGGTCACTGTTATTTGTTGTTGTTGTTCAAGATTTATTTAGCATTTTCTGTGATTTTACATTCTTGTCTATTATTATCTGTAACCCTAATGTTCCCTGTAAATGTCAATCACTAAAAACTAAAACTTCATATTGAAAGTAATCTGGTTTTTGCAATGATTTGGCTATATGTTTTAGGACCCTGATCACTTCTCCTCAAGAAGAAGCTCACGAATGAATACATTTTGGTAATACATTTCTTGATAGCTTGTAGTACATACTTTTCTTTGAGAAAATCCACGACGTTTTCAAAGTCACTTCTACAGTATTGTCTCTTCATATCTGCCAATACCTGATCACTTCCTGATTGTACAGGAACGTGGAGAAACCTGTATACTCTGGGATGTGACATTATCTTTGCAATTTCCTCCAAATGTTCTAAAATATATGGAGGATTTGTCATTCCTAGTCTCAGTCGACAGCCTTCAGGTATCACCTGCAAAATTATAAAAATCAGTTAATCGCACAGGTCAAATAGATTGACTGGTACAATCAAGAAGGCCAACATCAAAGCATTAGTAGTGTAGGTTTGCTCATTTGTTGTCTTGTTAGTAATGATTAAGCCAGTTTCACTTTTTTCTCTCTTATTACTGCCATCCAGACATGATTTCTTCACTTTCTCCTCATCAGTTTGATAACAGACAGCTAAGTGTCTCTCCTTAGCAAGAATCAGCACTTCTTCTGATGAAATTAGCCTCCAGTTTCGGTAGTTGTTGTGATCCTCTGAATCACTACCAAACTGGGATGGGTCAAACTGGCACACTTCTAGAATGTTTTTACTGTCTCCTTCTCTACATTCAGGATACTGACTTAGCTCGTTGTCCATTTCCATTTGAGCGCCTTCATTCTAGCAGCTCTTTCAACTTTGTATGTGTTTATTATGTTTCTAATATCTTCATCCAATCTATTGATAGAGTCTAACCAGATTCAGAAGATGACAATAATGGAGGAAGCTTGGAGAAAAAGAAGCAACTACCGAATCTGGATGCTAGATTCATCAAAAGAAATGCTCAAACTTGCTAAAGAGGATACTTAGCTGGGTGTTCTTTAGCTGATGAGAAGAGTAAAATTGACAAAAACATGTCTGTCATTGAGGATGGTAATGATAAGAAAATAAGTAAAACTCGCTAACAAAATTACCCTTATTCCATTTTGACAAACATGCCAGACAGACACGTCAAGTTTGACTAAGACATTAAGGCATAGGTCCCACAGTTGATATCTAGTAATGTAAAATATACATAGGTATGCTTTGCGCTTCTTTTCTTAGGGTGCTTTTAAAAATATTTATTTTCCACTGTTGTAACATACTAGATGACATATCAACTCTGGAAGCAACACTTTGAATGCACTTGTTAAAACTGGTGTATCTGTCTGTCTTTGGCATGGAGGGGCATGTCTTACAAATTGAAGATGTCAGTGATACAAGATATTCCAAAAAGTGCAAATAATAAGTTGACATTTTTATGATAAATCAACACTACTTAACACTTACTGATTACCTCATCACAACAAGCTTGATCATTATCATAAAAATAATACCTCAACCAGTTTCCATAACAATTCAGGCAAAGAGGTCCCTATGTCCCTACCATAAGTACCAGTGTCTTCTGATGTTAGCCATATTTCTACCACACCTTCTTCAAATGCTAGTTTGGCTCTTGCTATAATCTCTTCAGGAGGATAGCTGCCCAAATCACCTCTGGCATGTTTTGTTTTACAATAGGTGCACTGATTGAGGCAGCCAGTATTGATAGCTATTATTTCAATCAGTGGATTCCTCCTAACTTTGGGAAGTAATAAGGAAGCACCACCAGATTTCTTGCCATTTTCCTTCTTTGTGCCTAAAAGGTATTTTCATCCAGTTAAAAGAAAATATTTGTAAGTACGTTTTTAATGTCCAAATGGATGTATGGAAAATTAACTGCATTGCAATATTAACTACTGTGCTGCATTTTTCAAAAAGCAAACATGACAATCAGTCTCTTGTGGTTTTGAGAAAACCGAAAATGGGAATTGGTAATAAAATATTTGTCAATTTCAAGTTGGTTTACAATATCTTCAAGATGCTGTTGATGTTTCACGGGTATATGTAGATCATTTTGCTGGACATTTTTATCCAAGCCTTACAGGATTGTTTATTGGCTACTGCAGCAAGGTCAAGGTGAATTCAAGAAGTTAACAAGCAAGTGTTTTGGAATTAACGAGTAACAAAATGTTACAGTACCTGAAATATATATATCATTAAAGCATGAAAACCATCTATACTTGGTTGATGTAGCATCTTAAACTTATCCTGTGGTTTTCATGTCCAAATGAAAAATAGTTGTTAAAAAAACTCTTGTAGAGAGTAAATGCATTTGTCAACAAGATATTTCCAGAGATGATTTACAAGTGCAAGGATATTAGTGCTTCTCCAGAACTCACTTGGTAAATTATTATTTATTCTAATGTAACCTAGTATAGGAGAGTTTTGGTTACAGAACAGAGTTATGTGTCGGTATACAGATCATGTCCTGTTCATATTGATTATTTATTGCATTGTTTTGAAAAAAATTATCGCTATGTTCAATTATGAAGTGTATGGAAGTTAATTTGAGCAGATTATAGCATATAAAAGTTTCATTACAAGAATCTTGACATTAAAAATTAACTGAAGTACTCTTTTTTGTAGAATCATTTTTGCCTGCCCCCATATGATTATATTGTTAGTAAGACTGATCTTTGGCTTCAATTATAAGATTGCAAAATAAGCACTGTGCCAGCATAACCTGCTATCAACTTGAGTTCCCAAGATCATTCAATCTCAAAAAGTAGCAATATCTATGTGTGGTTTCTTATTGAAGAAGTAAACTTGTAGTTTTATCTTCATTCAAGATATTGTCATATCAAATGAACATTAAGAACTTTTCTACAATATTTTATCTTACTTATTTGCTGTTGTTTTACAGCACATTAGCTATTTCAAATGCAGTTTCTGCAAAAATTCACAACTTTCAGGACAGTATATGAATTTAGTACTATCAGATGTATTCTCAATCTTATCAAACAAAATACTGCAGTTGATTGATGTTGCCTTACCAAGAAGTTTGACTGTATTGCCTCTAAGAGTTTCTTCAACAACCTCAACAACTCTATCTATTTGCTGGACACCAATTATACTAAGTCCTTGTACAAATGATGACTTTGGTGCACCTTGAGGAACACATCCAGCAAGAACAATGTGCTTGCCTTGCTTCTTACCTGTTTCAATTTCATTCCTGAGAAAAAAAAATGATGTAGCTATACTGCAAATTTATAAAACTGAAGTTATCACTGGTCAGGCATTGAGCAACAACCATGTGACCAATGTGCAGTAGCCTAAATTGTTAATTTTTTGGCTGTCTTCTTGTCATTTGGTAAAAGAATCCCCCAGTTAAGTTTAACTTACATTTAATGGTGTGATGGAAAATATGTCTTTTTGTTTGGTTTATAAAATATGGAAATCAAAATCACTCATAATGAAAAAATTTGCATTGCCCCTGGCAACTGGTTACTAAGATCTACACATGATTCTAATGCCACAGTGGCAAAATATTATGTTAATGGCTCAACACTATAGATTTGCAATATAATGGCAAAACTGGCAGAGGCTAAGAGAATTCATACAATTATTGTTTTGGGATTTACAATGTGTCTTAAAAAGCAGCATGCTATTAAATTTACCTAAAATGGTCTTCAGAAGGGTTTTTTACAGTACAGCTATTGAGCAACCAAAGATCTGCTAGAGTTTTATCTTCGACCAGTTTATAGCCATAAGCAGCAAGCTGTCCAGCCATGTATTCCGAATCGGAACTGTTATGTGCACAGCCCCATGTTTTAATATAAATCTTTTGAATGCCAGGTATATTATCCCCAATTGGTACAGGAATTGGGAGATTGTTGATCTAAAAAATGAATATGGGTAAGACATCAGTAAATCATAAAATATATAAGCGTACATTTTTCTTTTTTACTTGAACTTTAACATTTTTCCTGGAGCTGTATCTTTCTTTAGGACCGATATCCTGGATTGATATCAGATCCTCAATGTCCTCAATTATTTCACTACACGGTGGAGATTGCCTGAAACGTGATCAAGTATAATAAGCAAGCAGTTATGCATATTAAAAATATTTATTACTCTAGCATTTTTTAAAATGTTTTGTGGATTAGTTATAGCACAAGTTTTTGGAAACTACCGATTTGAGGTTAGTGTTAAGACTTGGTTAAGACACGTTTGACACCCGTTATACCTGCTGTCATGCATGTGTCATAATATATGTTCCTCATAGAATTCTGCAATGCCGATAACGAATTACTGCTAGTCATCTACTGTAGGGACCTGTAGCACTAAAGTAGATTTCTATTATATCAACTTGTCATCAGTGAAATCAAAATAAACCAAGAAGTCATTACAATTTGTAAATAAATAAATGTAACATGCACAGCTGATTATAAATTTTTTCAGGTTTCAAAACATAAAATGAGTAAAAATCTGAAATCACCAACAAAACTCACAGAGTTTGCTCCATTACAAGCAGAGGAAAACAAGCCACAAAGTGTAAGTCAGTTTTTGAGTAGTTTTTTCAAAAAGTCCAAAAGCACTCCCCAAGAAGAAACTCCAGAGGCTACTGAGAATGTCAGTCAGGAATCGTTACCAACATGGGCCCTAGACTCATCAAGTGAAGCCTCCTATAGTGGTAATGGCCATGAATTTACAACTGTATATCCAGTAGATGTTACCGAAGGCAGAAGCTTACCAAATGTTTTGAAAAGAATTAGTAATCTTGTGGCATTGAAAAGCTCTGTAAGTATTCTTTTTGTTGAAAATTCATAGACCTAACAAATGGTTTATTAGCATCTTCAGGATTATGGTGAGACAGACCTCAAACAGTATTGGATGCCAGATTCTGTTAGCAAAGAGTGCTATGATTGCTCTGAAAAATTCACTACATTCCGCAGGAGACACCACTGTCGCGTATGTGGACAAATATTCTGCTCACAATGTTGCAATCAGCAAATAACTGGGAAAATATTTGGATGTACTGGTAAATACATACTTTACTTTTTAGACTGGAGAAGTGCAAACAGAAATTGAGTTAGTTCTCATGCAGTTCAGCTAGACCAGTGGTTGCCAACCTTTTAAGTGGGTCGGGTAACTTTGATAATTTTGGAATAAACAGTGAGCTACCTAGTTGTAAGCAATGTAAGCCAACTTAAATGAAATTACACTCAGTTGTATGTGACATATGTACATTTGTTCATTTTAGTAGTACTAATGCATACTAACAAACTTTAATAAACTATTACATATTAGATAACTAGATTCATTCCTACCAATCGTAGGTGTTTGAATAACAAACAAAATTTTTGTAGCTACAATGGTATGTCAGAAATGATTTAATAATTTAAAAAATAAAAAAGCAACACACTATTTTAAATAAAAACATGTCCAGATAAAAAATGCATGTTCAATGAGAAAGCTAACACTGACTGACTCACTGACAATTTGGAGTATAATTTGATCCTGCCATTTGAATACAATTATCCAAATGTTCATCTGTAAGTCGATTATGGTAATTGTGTTTAATAAACTTCATATTTGATAAAGAAGATTCACACAAATAGGTTGAACTAAATAATGTTTTCACTTTCAAGGCAACATGACATAAAACTGAATATTTATCTTTACTTACTGAAGGCCAGATAGATTTATTAAAGTTAAATCATTTTGAAATGCATCACTTCAAGTTCTGTCGCAGCGATGTCATCGCTAAAATTCTGCATAATAGAAGTTGCAAACTGTTGGATATCAATTTCCACGAAGGGTGAAACAACAAATTCTGCCACTATAGCAATTTCGTTGAAATCCTAGGAACGATTTTTGAAGTTATCCTTCAATTTAGAGATTATTTCTACATTATATTTACTGTCATATGGTCCTAATGGACTTTGAAATATCTTTTCTGAAAGAACAGGAAAATGCCTGGTATTGCCATCGATTAAGATTTGTTCCCAAAACTCAAGCTTTTTGATAAATGCTTTTGTCTCTCTCCTGAAGCTTCAAATTAAGTTCATTTAATTTTTTTGTAATATCCACAAGAAAACCAAAATCTCTAAGCCAGATTAAATTTTCCAGTTCCGGAATCGGCTCATTAAAATAATCTTCCTTGTAAGGCTTGAGCTCTAATCTTGTTCACAATTTTTACTACCAATTTTATAACATTGTTTAGTTTCAGAAAATGTCCACATAATGCCTGCTGATGGATAATGCAGTGGTAACAGAGAAATTGCGGAAAACTTTCATCCTTACGACATAATCCCCCCCCCCCCTTATCACGACTTATTACAGCTGGAGCGCCATCGGTTGACAAGGCTACCATTTTCGATATTGGAATTTTCTCAGAAGGAATAATATTTTTAAAGGAAGAAAACAAGTCCTGCCCAGTAGTCTAACCTTTTAGGCCCGTATCGTCAGTCGACCCTACAATTGTAGGGCGCGTTTATGGCCTCCTTGATTGTAATACTGCTTTCTCTCCTTCAAAAATTTCTAGATTACACTTGTCCCGTGTCAGCGTCAGCACTCTCCTATTGTGAAGATTTGTTTTCCTTTTAAATTGTAGAAAATTTCAGGCTGATAAAACATGATATAACTCAAAAGCAAGCACAATTTGACGCAAATAGATGTTTGTGACATAACCTCAAAATAGAGTTCTGACACGGAGAAGTAGAAAACTATGACAATCAAGGAGGCCATAAAGCCGCCCTACAATTGTAGGGACGACTGACGATACGGGCCTCAGTGGAATAAACTTCAAAAGATCTTTAATCGTAAAATCACTAAAAACCATCCTGACGAACACGGTCATCTGAGAGGTGTCAAGGACATCTGTGGATTCATCCAGCTGTAGTGAAAAATCAGGACAGTTATCGAAGTCATTTCTTAACTGTAAAACTATATCATTGCTCAGTACTTCTACTTGCCTCATCTCTGAATTAGCAGAAAGCTGCATAGATTTTATAGCAGACACTATCTCGTCTTTATTTCTAAGGTTGGCAAATAATGAATTTGCTTCTAAAAACGCCTGTTTTATCATTTCCCTGTCTTCATAAGGTTTCTTCTTTTGTGTATTTATCTGGGGCGCCCGGAATGATACATCAGTTGCAGCCTTACTTCTTTCGATTGTTTTTAAAAACATTGTCTGTTGTCCAATTAACTGGTGTTTTAATTGTTTCAGTTTTTCCGTTTTGGTTGCAGAACGTAATGGTAATGATTTTTCAAAATTCGAATATACAGTTTTATAGTGCCTCTCGATATTCCCTTTTTTAGCAACAGAAACAGATGTACTACAAAACAAACATACATTTTTACCTTTAACTTTTGTAAAGTAATATTGTTATTCTTATCCCGACGGAAATAGTATGTCTTCGTCTTCTTCCATAATGTTTTTAATTGCTGGCCAACTTAAATGCTGGACTTTGTTCATATTTATTCCGTTCAAAGTAATCGAGATCGTTTTCAAACAGATCGCTCACCGCAGTGTTGCCCCTGCTTGTGTTTATTATGAGAATTACAAAATTTACGGAAGCTTCTATGATTGTTACACCTTTTTAAAATATGTTTCAAGCCACCAGAATTGCCTTTGCGACCTACCGGTAGTTCGCGATCGACGGGTTGCCGACCACTGAGCTACACCCATGGGAGCCCATACTAGCTATTAAAAACAAATATGGGGCTTTCATTCATTCTGCTATTATTAAGAGGTCATTTATATAAAGTCCATTATGCTCACTAATTCTACACTGATAATTTGTACTTTTTTAGGTGATTTAAGGGTATGTAATTATTGTTGTAAAGTGGTTGCATCCTATTTAAAGTCACCAGATGTTAATGCAGATCTCTCCACTGATTTAAAAGATCTATTGGAGAACCTTGAATCAAAATTTAAATTATCAAATACAAGTTTACATGAGGATTGTGATTCACAATGTTTGAATACAAACCAATCTGAAGGAAGTCTTGCAAAGAGGAAAATTTCAGTTGGATATCAAGAAGAAAGGTTTGCTGTTGGAAGGTAAGAATGACTATTTGATATTCTTCTTGCTGGACATATATTTCTTTTTCATGCTTGGTGCTCTGTTATTTTTCAGTCAATATTGGTTAAATCACTGTTATTTAAGCAACCCATAAAACTAAAATCTGTATTCAAAAACTGTATTTATAATATCCTGGCAGATCATATCCATCAATCACACAATTTCAGCTCTAGTGTGATATACCTGACATCAGAAGAAAAATTCAGAGCTTTACAAAACTCCGTCTCTCTGCGTAACCTCTTTGAAGAGCTGTGCAAACCAACAGTTGGCCTCCAGTTTGAAACTCACAGAGTCCGTCTGAAAACATACAGTGAATGTGTGTTAGGATCCGACATTGTGGATTGGTTGATCTTCCAACAAAAAGCTAAGAACCGAGTGCAAGCTTCAGCAATTTGTCAAGCTCTTTTAGAAGGCGGTTACATAGAGTCTTTGTCTGAGCCGCAAGCTTTCATAGATGGAAATGTAATCTACAGGAAAGGTGTAGTTTTGTCGCCTGAGATACCTAAATTATCCGCTTTGGAGCCTCCATATCAAGAGGAACCTAGCTGGGTGCAACAGATACCACAAGAGAGTAGCACTACAGGTATGCATTTTTGACACGTTGTTTAAAGTTCCTCCCATTTTTTTTGTGATGAATTCAACCTTCAATTTGAACACACGTTCTTATTGATTCACCATTGATTTGGCATATTTTTTTGCAAGATCACAATAAAAATTCTGACAAGTTTTGTAAGTTGCACTTTGAACTTGACATAATGTTGTATTTGTTATATTTTCAGATTCTGATAATGAACAGTTGTCTCCAATAAACATATCTCAAGGAAACATTACATCTTCATCTTCATATATGTTGGACTTGAACTTGGAAGCTAGTACCGTTTATTTGTCGCGACCTCCAGATATTGGGTTCAAATCTCCAGATGCTATAGAAGTGAAACATAAAGAACAGGAAGAAACTGCTATTATTAGACCTTCAGAAAGGTTAGAAGCAGCACCTGCATCAGGTATTGTCTCAAGATCACTATAAATCAAATATGCTTAACTATGCAGAAGACACATCTGTTGCCACATCATGTATATGCTAGTCTATTTTCACCTCACCAACAATATAGGGACAGGCAACAATGATTAACAGATTATACGTTCTGCAGAAAAGAGTACTTCAATTAATCTTTAATATCAATCAGAGGGACTCTGAAGAAACCTTTAGATGCTATAATCTGCTTATATCAAATTTTATCTAAATATATCTACAAGAACTCTATCTTCACATTTGAACATAGCAATAAATTTGTTCGAAACAACACAATAAATAGTCAATATAAAACTAGAACAGGGCATGATCCGAGTATACTTACACATAACCCTGTTCTATCCCAAAAATCTCTAATACTAACTTGAACTAGAATATATAATAATTTAGAAAAGCACTAATATCCTTGAACTGAAAAAAATCTCAGGAAATATCTGGCGAAAAATGCTTTCACTCTCTACATGAGTTTTTTAGCTTAAGTCTCTATACATATATTCAGTTTTTATTCAAGTTTTAGTCCAAGTATGGATGTTTTTCATGGTGTCATATTGTTTGACATGTATTCACAATTTCATATCTAATTTGGCCTTTTCTTATATGTGTAAAGGTTTTTTAAACTTGCTCAACATTTATGTATACCTGAAACAGATTTTCCTACTCTCTTTGTATATACTTCAATTATCTTTCTCCGTTAGACGAACATTTCTTGTGATAAATGATTGAAGACTTAGATAAATGTGCTCTAACTAAAGGGTGTTCAGATAAGGATGCTCGAAAGTTAAAATGGAAAAAAAAGGAAAAAAATTTAAGTCAGCACTAAAAGTCTATATTGATCGTAAATAGCATTCGACGATATTATGTATGGAAGATTATATCGTTTAAATGGCCACCGCGACTGCGCTGTACAGCGTGCATTCGCATGGTCCAATTTTCGAGCACTTTTCCGCACATTTCAGCGTCTACCTGTCCGAGGACGCGAATGATGTTGACCCTTAATGCTGCAATTGTTTGTGGCTTATCCGCATACACTTGAGACTTCACGTAGCCCCACAGGAAAAAGTCTAAAGGCGTTATATCGCACGATCTTGGTGGCCAGTGCACATCGCCGCCGCGCGAAATAATGAAACCGTTGAACTTTTCATGCAGTAAATCCAGCGTTGCGCGTGCCGTGTGGCACGTAGCGCCGTCCTGCTGGAACCAGATGTCTGTTAGATCCATATCGTCCAGTTGAGGCCACAGGAAATCATTAATCATGGCGCGATACCGTTCTCCATTGACCGTAAGCGCGTTGCCCATAGCGTCCTCAAAAAAATATGGACCGATTACGCCGCCAGCCCAGAAACCGCACCATACAGTCACTTTAGCAAGATGCATAGCAATTGAGCAAGTCACTTCAGGATTTTGGTCAGCCCATATACGGCAATTCTGTTTATTGACATACCCATTCATCCAGAAATGCGCCTCGTCGCTGAAGATGACTTTTCGTGCAAATGCAGGGTCGACTTGCAACTGCTCTAGAGCCCATGCGGCAAATGTACGGCGCTGTCCATGGTCTTGCGGTTTCAATTCTTGCGTCAATTGAATTTTGTACGCGTGCAATTTCAAGTCTCGACGCATAATTGTCCATGTTGAGGTCTTTGGAAGGGCAAGTTCTTGTGCACGTCGCCGCAATGACTGATTCGGGTCTTGACGCACGCTCTCTCGCACAGCATCAATATTCTCGATTGTTCTTACTGTTCGTTGCCGTACGGGTGTTGTTTGGTCTGCCACTGAGCCAGTTCTCTCAAATTTATTGAGCAGACGTCAAATAGTGGACTCAGCAGGACGGCCATGCGCACCATAAATTGGACGCAATGCGCGGAACGTTTCACGAACCGAACATCTGTTTTGATGATAAATTTTCACAATTTCCATGCGTTGTTGAATCGTGTACTGCTCCATGATTAAATGTCAAGACTAACTTAATAACCTCACAAAATTTGACAGCTGTATCCCCACCGGTTTGGGCGCGCGCGCCGTTCAAACATCGAGCGTCCCTATCTGAACACCCTTTATATGTGAGTTAACTTGTTTAAATGTTATAAACTTTTTTATATTTATACATAGTTTTTTGTCATATTTGGTCAAACGCATATATGACTTTGTGCTGCCTTATCTTGACAGAAGTATTAACCGGCGGTCTATCGCTTTGTGGTGCCTCTGGGACGTCCAGAACCCCTCGCTGGCTGTTATCGTCCTTCCTGAGTCCACCCTCGTGCATACTGCAGTATACTGCGTAAGGATCTGTTGACCCTCCTAGAAACTTCTCTTATTGATAGACCGGCTTCACGCAACCCGGCAGTTCGACCCCTCTCAAAGTCACTTAGCTGGGACACCTGGCGAATTCTACACACTCATTTTGAACAATCACAAAAAGAATTCCGTAGATGTACGATAACTGAATGCTTCTCTATCACCATACAATACACGCAGCTACCACAAAAACTTAACAAAAAAACCTGACCATTTTATCAGTTGATGTTCATGGCAAGATAAATCGATATGTAAAAAATTCTTGAATTATAATAAACATTCGTAGGTATTTACCTCTCATTATACTATCTATCTATCTATTAGACAGTGAGAGTTGTCTTTTCTAGGGTGGTTCAAAGCATCAAATCTAAGAGAAGAAAATGATGAAAAATTGGCATATGAGTTGCTTACTGATGCATATGATCAACACGAGCAGTGCTTGCTAAAACAGCTTCTCTCCTCCAGAGGACTATCTTTATCTTGGGTTGACATAATCACGCCTTTGATACATGATATAATTGCTGTGATTAGCCCTGGTGAGCTCAAAAATATTAATACCATTATAGCATAATCCATAATTTAACAGAATTACACTAATATATATTGGGGTGAATACCTTTCACAGCCTGAATACGTACAGGGGGGGGGGGTGAGTTTTAAATGTGGGCTCTGTTGATAACTCTGTTATTACACATAGTGTCTAAAATAATCACAAAAATGTGTGCTAACAGTATGCCTCTTACTTGGAAAATATTTTCATCTCTACAGGGTGATTCATAACTAGGCGCTGACCCAAACATGCATTTTTCCAAATCAAAAGCATTATATTTTATTGAATATTTGGATATATCCTTTCAAACGAAGGAATTTGATATAACATACTATCGAATGAAATACTGGACTTTGACAACCCGCACCTCCGCAACTGTTATAACTAGAGTACTGAATTTTTCGTTAAGAGAAATTTCTAGTAGTAGTAGTAATAGTAGTAGTAGTAGTAGAAAGATTTATTTAGCACATTTGGCTAGATAAACAGAATAATTGTAAACAACTTAGAAGTAGTAAATTCAAGCCATATGGTGTATGATTTAAATGCTGGGCAACCTATAATTGTAGATTTAACAAGTGATTTCTCAATTTTACTTTAAATTTTGTCAAAGTTTTCTGGTCTTTTATCTCTGAGTATAATTTATTATATTCAATCAACCCTTGATGGAATACAGATTTGTAGCATATGTTATACTTTTTGGTCATTAAATGGAAGTCATCTTTATTTCTGGTATTATGTAAATGATGGTCGACATTTGATGATGTTAAATTAGTTAGACTTGATGGAAATATATTATTTTTTACTTTATAAATGAATATCATTACAAGATATTTGATAAAAATTTTTACATTGAGCCATTTTAATTTGCTAAGCATTTGCCTAATTGGAGTATATTTATCTTTATTGTTGTCTTTCAAAAATGGAATTATTTGCTAAATATAGAATAGTCGAACAGTACAAGAAATTTGGAAGAATGATGGTATTATAGATAATTTTTCTGCTATATGAACTCAGACATCCAGAAACTCTCGATAAATATCCCACTTTACTACTAATCTTATTTATAACTTCTTCATAATGAATATCAAAAATTAATCGAGAGTCAACCCCCAGGTATTTAAAATTTTCTACGAATTCAATATCTTCACCATCAATATTCAGTTGAACATTTGTACCTTGTTTTTTTCCGATTAACAAGGCTTTCGTTTTACTTGTATTTAATTTTAGTCTGTTAGATGCTAACCATTTTGAGACAAGTTTCAAGTCTTCATTTATATAAGAGATACCAGTCTGAATATTTTTAGTACTTATATAAATCATAGTGTCATCGGTGAAAATCTGAATTTTGCATTTTTTGGCTATGGCAGGTAAATCATTTATGTATAAAATAAAAAGAAGTGGTCCCAGGATACTGCCCTGTGGAACACCCAACCTATTTTCAATTTTTGATGAAATAGTGTCATTAACTTTTGTAACTTGCATCCTTTTAGACAAATAATTTCTAAACCAATCTAAAACACTTTCTGTTATACCATATGCCTTCAATTTACCTAACAAAATATCTCTATCAATCGTTTCAAATGCCCTCTTCAAATCCAAAAATACTGCTATGTCAACTTCTTCTGAGTCTATGGCTCTTCTCCAATTCTCAGTTACCAACTGGAAAGCCGTTTCTGTGGAATATTTTTTTCGAAAGCCTGCTTGCGCCTCCACTAAAATTTTGTTTTCTTCTATAAACTGCATTAATTGGTCATGCACTATGGACTCTAATAATTTTTCAATGTCTGGTAACACATTTACTGGTCTCATATCGCTGCATCTTTTAGAATTTTTTATTTTAGGAACTGGTGTTATTGTAGAGCATTTTAAATTTTCAGGAAAAGAACTGCTTCTCAGTGAACAATTGATCCAATTTAATACAGGATATCCCAAAATTTCGAAACAGTTTTTCAGCACGTTTTTAGTAGTGATTTCGGCACAGTTGTTATTTGATTTTAAACTGTTTACTTTTTTTCTTAGATAATTCAATGATACGCTGTGAAATTTTGAAAGTGTATGCAACATTTCCCCCTGGAAAGTGATTTTCATATAGTCAGGTGCAGCATTGGCAGTACCCACAATATCAACAATACTTTCCACAAAATATTCATTTAGTTTATTTGCAATCACCAAAGAATTTGTTTCGGTACCGTTGATTTTGATGTCATATATTGTTCCTATCCACTTGCTTTTCCAGTTTTTTGAACAGATTATACAGGGAAGGTCAAGAACGCATAATGAACGATTTCTCAAGACTTTTTAATGGAATATCCATGTGCATTTTCATATTCCTTGATTCCCATTTCCGCAAGCTCTCTTGATGCCTTTGGGGTTTGTACGATCGGTTTTTGGGTTACAGCTATCCTGTTTATAAATCAGATAGCAAGGCGAATGAGCAATCTTACAATAGAACTAAACAAAAGAACACATATAGTTGGTAACGAAAGATCGTTAGAATTGACGTATTTTCATTATAAATTAAATCTACCTAGCCTTATGCAATAAAGTCGTTATTAGCAATTCAAATTTCGGTCATACAAACCCCCATAAACCTGACATCAGAAAAAAGCTTAAGAAAAGGGAAATCAAAAAGTGTCAATATACTTTGAAGTTGAGTCATTAATTTTCAGATAATGATTGTAGAAGGAAGATAAACCAAAATATGTGTGTAAAGATAAAAAAAAATAAAAAAAAATGTTTACCTTGTTTTATAAAGTATCCTCCCGACAAGTATTTCAGTGCGGACCTGTATTTGATCGTGAGGTCCCCTGTGAGGTCTGAAGTCACCTGATTCACGAGCCCGTTGTACTACATTAACAAAGGCACGAGGGGTTGGTTGCACTCGATTGGGAAACCGATCCGCATAAACATGTGCCATTTTTTATTTCGTTTGAGCCACGCAACAGACACTATTCACACGCGACTGACACTGACTGTATGTATAACTGAACTGAATAAAATAAACATCGTTCCAAATTCTTTCGCTTTTTTGTTTCCGATGCGATGAACCGATAAGGTGGATTATATCCGTTGTTGCCAAACACGAATACATGATATTATTGAGACAGGGCGGTACTCAAACTTCCAAAGGGCTATAACTTTGTTACTTTAATTTTACCAGAAAGATGGTAAAGGAAAAAAACATTTCTTTTGATCAGATCTACTCACTGTTAAAATAAATGACTCAACTTCGAAGTCACCCTGTATAGATTTGAAATTTTTGAGAAATCATTCGTTTTGGCTTCTTGATTACCCATTATAAACTATCAAGAAAAACTGAAAAACCAAGTTGACAGGAACAAAATATGGCATGATGAATTTTTTTTATGAAAAATAATACTCTAGCTATAACAGTTGCAAAGATGTTTTATTCGATAGATTGTCAAATGTCTCAACCATTTGGAAATAGAATGTAATACTAACTTGCTTCGTTTGAAAGGGTCTATCCAAATCTGCAATAAAATGTAATGCTTTTCATTTAAAAAATGCATATGTGGATCACCGCAAAGCTACGAATCACCCTGTAAAGATAAAAATAGTTTCCAAGTAAGGAGCATACTTTTGGGTACAATTTGTGTAATTAACTTTTCTAGATAGTATGCGCAATAAGAGTCATCATCGGAGCCCACAATTCAACGGGAAACAAAATAACTGAAAATGCCTTCAACATAAGTATTTTTGTAGATGCTAATCATGATGCAGTTGACCTAGACATAAGAAACTATGTGAAGCTTAAAATCCTCTCTGGACGTCATAAAACAGATACGACATTGGTAAAAGGAATAGTTTGTAGCAAAAATGTTGCTCACAAACGTATGGCAACTGATATTGAAAACCCAAAGATATTACTTCTTCAGTGTTCCATTGTATACCAAAGAACTGAAGGCAGATTGATGTCTCTTGAACCAGTATTAATGCAGGTAAATAATCACTCATTCGAATTTTTGCGTTTTCTTACTCATTTTAGTTCAATTTCTTCTCTCGTTTCAGGAACATGAATACCTGCGTCATGTTTCGGCCAGGATCGTGGCTCTACGACCAGATGTCGTTTTGGTGCAACGAAACGTTTCTAGATTGGCTCAGGATTTTCTCAGGGAGCACCAGATCGTATTAGTACACAATGTGAAGAGGTCTGTGCTAGAGAGGTTGGCTAGGTGTACTAACGCTGATTTGGTCACTGCTGTGGATGCCCATATTGGAAGGCCAAAGTTAGGCACTTGCAAGAGGTTCCATGTTGAGAACTTTAACATTGACAGAGGTTATTCTTGATTCCATTTTACTACCATACAATGCAAGCGCCACTAGGCAGGTACTATCGATGCAGTTTGCCATTTCCGCTTCCTATGATACTTGTATAGTTTTGCTGATAAATAGGATTTTCCCATACCCGGACTTTTGTCGCAAGCGGGTACCTTTTTTTTATTTTAGTATTACTGGGAAGACGAAAACATTAAAATGAATTAACATGTAACTAAAAAGCCCACTTGAAAACATGTATATAGCTAGACTAAACCGGCAGCTCCGCCCGCGTAGAAGTAGTGTAAAGTCATTCGTTTTGCATTAGTGTGGAGATTGGTTTCGGAGAAAAAATGCAATAGTCAAAGTAATGCAATAGTTACTTTGGCAATAAACATTTCTTATTCAACATTTCGGTGTAACGATAAATTAATATCAAATGCCCTATTTACCTTTATATACCCTTACTCATTTAGGTCGGACCAACGACTGAGCGCTTTCGCTTTAAACACCTCATTAAGCCGTTTGAGCTGTATAAAACATATATTCTAAAGATATTTTCAGGTATATAAAGTAGCCTAAGTGCTATTCTAGACTATAATTTACCTCTGTACCAAATTTCATCCAAATCCGTTCAACTATTACGTACGGAGTGATTGAGTAATAACATCCACACTTCCTCATTTGACGAAGATGAGGCTGAAGCTTGCGAAAAAGCAAATGAGGTGAATGTATCACAAGAAGAAAAAGGATTTTGTGTAACAGACAGTTCAAAGATAAAAGACTATACCATTTCGTTACAAGAAAAACTGATAAATCATCTTAAAAAAAAAAGATACAACTGAATAAACAAATCGAGAACTTACAAAATACATCTGGAAATATCAGTTAATCATATGCAGACATGGTCAAAAGTTCTAAACATGAAAATACCAACATTACCCCGCCATCTCCAAAAGAAACGGTAAAATATACTAAAAATAGAAACAACCGGAAAATACAATTGTTATCAAACCTATTAATACAAAGTTGTACTCAAACAAAGAAGGAATTGAGCAAGTATATAAATCCAGCAAAAATGAATGTGTCTATTAAAAAAACAAACGATCTGAAAGATGGAGCACTGAAAATTGAGTGCAAACATATGGATGATATCAAAAGATTGAAATTTGAAATAGAAAAAAGTGTTGGACAGACTTATAAAGTTAATGTAGGCCATACAAAATTACCAATGATTAAGGTCGTGGGTTTCAGACTTAAATAATGAAGAATTAGAGACTTAAAAGTAAAAAACGTTATAAATAGTGATGTTTCGATTAAAGTAGAGGCAATTAAAAAAATGGAATTTCGGTATATGGCAATTTTGTAATTAGATATATCGACATTTAAAGCAGTAATGAAAGCAGAAGTATTGTTTGTATCCATGGATGTTTGTACAATTTTTGAGCATTACGATCTTCTGAGGTGCTTTAACTCTGGTGGATTTCACCACACAGCGAAAAATTTTACCAAGACCAGTATTTGTTTAAAATGTGGTAATTGTGATCATCAGGCCCAGAACTATGCGATATCAAAAGATAAAATAACATGTTCGAATTGCAAAAGATCAAATTTGAAGTACAATACAAATTTTAATATAAATAAAAACTTGAGTTTCTTATGGTGACAGATGGCAATTACAGGCCAAAAAATATACTAAAAATGTATACCATATAAATATACAAGGATTTTTATCACACAGTTATACATTTTTTAATATCACTGAAACCATTAGTTCTTTGCTTGCCTGAAACACATATTACACAGAAGATATGGAGATTTATATTAAGTAAACACAGTTTCAAAACATACAGCTGGCATACTAATACACAAACTCAGTATGATAGTAAAAATACATAATAGTTGTTGATTATCAATGGTGGTATATTACTTTTGAAATCAAGATGCAACAAAATTTCAATGTACACGTTTACTACAGGTCTCCAAGCTGTAATATTAGCCGATTTTTGGGCTTTTTTGAGAGTGTTTGTGAAAAACAGAATTATCGAAATTGCTCCACTGTGCACTTGGGAGAGACTTCAATATAAATTTTGATAATCAAGATTTTTATGTAAAAAAATTCAAACAGGTGCTGAACTTTCATGGTTTATGGCAAAAAGTTAATGACTACACAAGGATTATAAACTTTTCACGAAGTAATTTAGATTTAATAATAATCGATGATCAGAATTTGAGTATTAAGGTTTTACTTACTCCAAAGATAAGCAACCATTCATAGATATGTTTCGAGGTGGAAAATATTTTCAATGAGAGGGAATCAAGAGAAATCACAATTATTGACTTTGAAACGTTACGAGAGTCGATCTTACAAGCCAATATCACTGTAACTTTCAGTGATGCTGACACTTTATTCTCAAAAATCATAGATTGTATGGAGAACTGCATGAGAGAAGCACAAATTAGGAAAGTGGTATAACAAAGGAAAAAGCCAACGCTGTGGTTTTCACAAACATTTCGAGACTCTAAATTGACACGTGATAATGACTATAAAAAGTTTATGATCACTCAACTGAGGAAGATTGGATGCAATATAAGAAATCAAGAACCATGTGTTTAACAAATCTTAAGAATGAAAAGAAAAAATATTATATATATATATATATATATATATATATATATATATATAATAAATCGATAGCTATAAAAATAACAGTGAACTGATGTGGAAGACACTAAAAAATTTTTATCTAGCAGTAAAAGGAATGAATTATCGAGAATGTGCTTCGAAGATGGTATAGTAACACAGAAAATATTGATTGCAGAACGAATAAACGCTTATTTTATAGAAAGTATAAACGAGATAGTGGAGTCAATTGAAGAAGGGGATCCAAACCTATGTTTGCATTTTGACGCGGCACTGGCGTAAAAGGTCTACAGTTAGTTGGGTAGTGTGGCTAGAGGCATTGCCGTGATGATGATTGCACCCCTAACATTTACAGCTTCGAGAACTTCTGGCAAACATCTGTTGACGTAACAATCTGCCGTAACTGTACGCCGTTCTTCCAGCTTAATTGCTTTTACTAACGTGCTGCGAAAGAAAACGGCGTACATGACTTTTCTCACGACTCTCTGCTCCGTCACGATTGTTGGTGTAGGGTAATCTTCATGAATCCACACACGGCTTTCCTAACATGTAGGAATGTCATAAAACGGTATATAGGTTTCATCACCTGTTATTATTTTTGAAAGAATACGATGACGGCCATTGTTTAACATTTCCAATGTTTTCCGACTAATCCTAACTCGCTCCTTTTGGAAATCAGTAAGCTGATGTGGCACCCATCTCTTAACATTTTTTTTTAAATGAAGATGATCATGCAAAATGGTGTGCACTGTTGCGGATTGTACCCCAAGAGTTCCCTCTATAGTCACATATGTGCTGCGAGGATCTTCTTCAATTAGCCGCTGAACTTTAGCAATGTTTTCTGGAGTCACACTAGAATATGGCCTACCACTACGTTCTTCATCAGCCAATGAAACACGCCCTCTTTTAAATTCGGGATACCAGCGAAACACACTTGCCCGGGACGAAGCTTCATTACCAAATGCCAGTTGCAACCGTTCGATACATTGATGTTCAGTTAAACAAACTTTAAAGTCATAGTAAATCATAGCGCTTTAACCCTCTCTAGACAGCTCCATGTTTCGTCTTAAATTTGTTCACACCACGTGCGCTGTAAGACGCTTGCAGATGAACTGAATGCGGCGACTTACTAATAGAGGACCGCGCTTTCTAATAGTGCACTGTTGCCGGTTTTAAGTAGTATAGTTAATGCGCATCTCAAAATATACAGCGTGCCCCTCCCCTCGTATTACAAAATAAAGCTGTGAGAATAATCTAAAATAAAAATAAATATACTAGAATAAATTTTATACTGAAGGTAAATATCAAACATTTCATAACTTTACTTAGTTTTCATTTTCAGATTCAAGTTAAAAATTATCTACCAAATCACTTAGAAAATTTTATTGTATTGAACAATAAGTATCATAGTTATTCTACTAGAGGGAGTATAGACTTTCATTTACAAAATTGTAGTAGCAATATAACGAGCAAAACAGTATGTCAAAAGGGATTGTACGAATTTAATAAATTAAGTAATGATATCAAGATATGTGCTAGTTTGAAAATATTCAAGGGGAAATTGAAAAAAATATTTCATGGAAAACCAAAATTCATAGGAGTGAAATTTTGTATAAAAATATGTAGTCTTCAAGACAATATATTATGTGTTATACTGGGTAACATGGATATTGTAGCATTAATGCTGAATAAATCTAAAACTAACAAACAAATTTATGATATTAGTAGGGATTATATGACTTAGAAAAGGGATCAGTCAATGTTATTAATTTTAAAGTATAAAAAGTGACATATCGACTATTTATGACATTATGTAGGTTTTCCGATAAAATGTCACCTTTGACCTAGGTGACATTTACTTCATGCACATATAGTAGGCGCGGAATGAAGTAGCGACTACCTAGTGTACAAGTTATCATCTTGTCGATATTTTTGACATTATATAGTTATATAGGTTTTTTTACGTAATAATTATAGTTTGTATACGTTATAAAGTGAGATTTTAAAGTAAAATCACGATTATTCTTCCACAGGTGGCATGAAAACTTTGATGTTCTTCGAGGGTTTGCCATCTTCCCATCTAGGAGCTACAGTGCTTCTTAGGGGAGGTTCTAGAGCTGAACTAGCCCAAGTCAAGCAGGTATGTTCCCTGCTACTCTTTGCAGCATACAATTGGCGCCTGGAGAAATCGTTTCTCATGGACGAGTTTGCTATGCCTCCAAATCCAAGTTGCGAATTCCTAGATGACAGTAGCAAAGAAAATTCTCCAGGATTCATGGACTCAAAACGAGACAGAGATACCTACGCTCAGGATGGAGACAAGAAGGAGGATAAGGTTCAAATCAGAAGGAGTCACAAAGAGGACAAAATTGATCAGAGTGAAAGTAAGATTTTTCGAACTGTATGTTTGAATGCTTGTTTCTTTACTTTTATAAGTTTTTCATGTTTTGCTTGCCATCTTACAAGTAGTAAGAGGCACCGTTTCAACCTTGATTGAGCTGATCCATTTGAAGTAGGTCTTGCAAATAAAGTTACTTTGATTCCAATCATAGATTTTTTCTAAACTTTGTGAATCAGTTTCAATCATGAAACCAAAGCATTTCCATCAATAAGACCATTTAAGAATAATGACGCTATTTATAGGTAAAAAAATCACTGCAGAAAAAGTAGAAGACTTTACCGACCCCTTGCATTCCTACAAATCTGATGAAGACCCAAACCTAAGAAAGAAAAGTTTTGTGGATCTGAAAGTTGCTGAGTTACCATTCGCTAACCACTTTCGGAAAGCTCTGGATGATTCGATTCTGTGCCTGTCGCCCTATATTGTTTTTCCGGTTCCGTATTTGGAACTGGACGCCGGAAAGAAGTGCAAACTTAGAGAGTTTTTCCCCAAGGATATCTACTTCTATGAACAGTCGAGCTTCAGCAAAAAAAATAAGTGGAAAGAGGCGGAGAACTTTAAGGAAAGTGAGGAGAACAAGAAGAATTTGAAACCATTACATCCGTTCCTTACTACTAATATAACTTGTGTGGACAACGTTCAAACCGAAAATTTATTGGCGCATTTTAGAGCTTGTGGAGGAAGATATGAAAAGAGAGAAAACATCTGTAAGCCGGAGAAAAAAGCGGAAGACCAGTCTAATGCTGCGGAGGAATCTAAAGATGCTTTAGATCCAAAAAATCATCAGAGGCTAGCTGTGTTGTTTTGCAGTTTTAGCTATGAATCGAATAACAGCCCTGCATTTTGTGTAAATCCATGGTAAGTGCTAAAGTAATTGTTAGAAGACCTATTTTTTATGTGTGTGTGCGATGTGCCGATTTAATTTATATAATTTTGTTTATTTATTTCAGGGTAGTTTATATGGATTTTTATGGAAGAAATGATATTCCACTTGGATGCTTCTTGGAGCGTTATTGCTTCCGTCCTACGTATTATTGCCCATCAGAGACCTGTGGTACTCCTATGGAAAGCCATATAAGGAGGTATGACTGTATATTATCTCTGTGATTTGATCAGACCTAGGTTATTAACTGGGTTTCAGCATTGATTAACATATCCTTCAATAAGATGACCTATGCTGGATTTGGACGTTCACATATAAATTCCATCATTATAGCCACGTTCTGAAATAGAATCAGAGTAGTTCCCTTACAAGTAATAAAAAAAGTCATTTCCCAAAATGCTTATTCTTAAACAACATTTTTCCATGGAATCATCACTCATCAAACTCCCTCGTGATTACTCCTTGCCGAAAATATTCATGATAATCGGTAGTCCTTTCAACAGTTGAATGGAATTCTAGTACAAATTTTCGCTGTTATAAAACATCTTCTATAGGATTTGCGTTCAATCTTTCCATATTAACGTATTCCACCTAAAGATACAAAATTAAAATAGGCGTTAGAGAGGCAAGGTACTGAAGATCCTAGGGCTATCTACGAGACAGTATCAGATTCATTTTGTGTTGTGTCTCATAGGTCGCGGTAGTACGTTCCAAATCTATTTTTGGACGCCGGAATACGGCATGTGGTTGGCTATCTTCAGGTAGACAACTTTTTTATTTGCTGTATAATACAGGTTCTAAAGAGAATGCTTCACTTTCATACGGTGAACATATTCACTCTCACGTGTAAAACGACAGCTAATTTTTTCGACATAGTTACGACCGTAGTTTTTGCAATAATCATCTTCCATGTAAAATGATTCAGATTTCGTATTCTCATAATTTCTCAACAATAGATAAGCAATAGTTCTAGGTGTGACAATGCTATACCCTAAAGACGGTGCTCACTAGATATATAGTTGTAAGCATAAATAGTTGGCGGATTCACACTACGTATGCTTATTTTCGCGCAGGCATGGTTTTAGATTGGATTTACCATGTTTTGGTGGAATATGTTAATCAATGGTCTGACGTACTAGTAACAAACAAGAGGCTATGAATCCAAATTAAACGCCATTTGCTGCAGGCTGGAGATAGGAAACCCCAGATTTTAACTTCTTTAGTGTCGCAATTTCTTCGTTTTATTGATATTTCTGATAATTATAGATGTTTAGTAAAATCAATGATTTTTACTTTTTAATTTATTTTTAGAATATATTCCAATTGACGTTCCATCACTATGGTCACATTACATCTTTTGTTTTCTGTCAAACTTGGAACATAATAAAACAGGGACAAGTTTATAAAAGATGTACATGCCAACATTTAGCTGTTAAATAATTATGAACTCCATTTAAACAATGAATTGACTAGAGTTAATGAGGTGTTATGGGATCATGGCATAGTAGTTTCAGATCTTTTGGAGAAAGAAGGATTTTTTAACACCTTGAAAAGTAGAAATATTGACTTACAAGTATATAATACTCATATGTTTCACACTCAACCCTAGCGACTGTCTACAACTCTGATTACAAAGTAAATATAAATATATTTGTTATTTAAAGATTTGTCCACAATACGGGCTGTGTAAGTGTCTACCTTAACCACTACGACAGCGAATTCAGCAGCGAGGAGCACATTGTAACATGGACATGGTGCACCAAGTGCCAGTGCGTCAGTCCAGTGGCGCCGCTGTCAGCAGACAGCTGGTCGTACTCGTTCGCTAAGTACTTGGAGCTCAAGTACTACGGGGATATGTTCGGGCGTCGAGGACCGGCCGCATGTTCGCATAGCCTGCATCATGATCATTATCAATATTTCGGGTACAAGAACTATGTAGCTTCCTTCAAGTAAGTATGGGGTCACTCAAGTATTAAGCAAGCTCCAAAGGGGGTGGGAGGGCCTTTACTATGCTTACTTTTCATGACTAGGGGTGCAGGGGTTCTGAATGGTGATTACGTAAGCAATTTTAATTTATTGCCTATTTCTGATTGTTTTACTAAATTTAATCAATCAATTTGAAACTTTTGAAAAATATGTACTTAGGAAAGGGGTGAAATACTAGGATAGGAGACATAGGATGAAACCTTGTTACAAAGTATTAATATTATGAGATATAGTGCACAAGACGCTTGAATTTTCAAAATCCTTGAAACTTTCATGGGGGTGTCCTAGAATCTCATCATTTGTCACTATGCTGTCACTTTTCTTAATTTACAATTTATTTGATATTAAGATGGCAACAGGTGGTCAATATCGAAGTATTTTCAAACATCTCACCTTTGGGTTTGTAATTTGCCATTTTGTCGATAGATGGAGAGTTTCGCAAGATTTTGTCGAATGAAGAATGTTGACTGCGAGATTCAGGAAGGTAGTTAATAATTTCCGTGCGATATTTTAGCTGTCTAGTGACATTGGTCATTCAACATTCAAGAACAATCCCCCATCAATGGATTATCAAAAATTTCATTATTTTCTAAATTTTTTATAATTTAAAAGCTTTCAGCAGTTTGATAAGTTATAAGTTTGTGGAATTTTTAATTTACAATTCAACCAAATTTTCGAACTATTCACGGTTTTTAAGATAAATATTTTCATAACTTTCAAAAATTTACAAAATTTTCTACCCGGCTCTCCAGGGTCGGCTATTAATGTGGGCCTACATCTTGCATGACGACTTACTTGCAAGCAAAACGTGCCGCGCTTCTTCCGTTTTTCCATTTGCTAATCCATAAATAAAGTACATGCCAGCCATTTCAACGTTAGTAAAATTATTCATGATGGAATCACTGCTAATTGTCAACTGAATTTTACTGATATTACAATACTATCACTTTGAAATTGTCTTCAAAGAAGGTAAGTGGGTACGTGATTGGCGATGATTTGTTAAAAAACAGATTTGGTATTTTTATAGTGAACAAGATATGAAAAGAGCACAAGAGATGAAAAGTCTGTATTTTTAGTTGCTTAAACTAATGAAAATATAAAAACTACAAAATAAAGTCACTTTTACCTCAATAATATGGCTCTGGTGCGCACTGATACACCACAGGACCAAATAATTTCAATCTAGATAGAGATAAATAAGCGCCATATTACCTCAAATAATTGCACCAAATTGGAAACAAATCGGTTTAGGGATATTTGTATTTTATAAATATCGGTTTTTAAACTCCAACGCTCTATATCTCAAAAACGAAGCAACTCCGGCCATATGTTCATAGAAATTTGTTTTTTCAAATAACCCAAGGAATCATCACCTGATGTCTCGTAACGTAATTGGGAAAAACCTTGTTGAAAGTTGATCATGCATTGTTTTGTGTCATGCTGGATATGACTCTAATATTATACAGTATAGTGGGCAAACTTTTATGAGGTACGTTTTTTCGTGTTTTATCAACTTTTATGGCGCGTTGGTGGAATCTATACAACTGGAGCAACAACAAAAGAAATTTGTACAAGTTATTCTAACTGTATTTTCACGTTTTAACTTCGACTTACAATCAAAAATATTTTTTAGGTATTCTGCGATTAATATCTGGGATATCTCACTTCCCCCAACGTTGATCCTGATCTACTACACTACTTCCAAACTCCACACTCAGTTAATTGATGAGATCAGAGTGATGTCTCAGAAGGGGCACGAGATATTTGCCTTCATCCATGACAAGCTCGCGGGTCTGTCAGAAGAATCAGATTCGAACACCGTGTTCAGGCAGACATTGACCAATGAGCAGGTTCAGTTCAAGCAAAAAGTGGAAAAAGTACAAATTAAGTTAACCTCTCCAACTATTGAAAATAAGGAGTTCGATGAAAAAGGTATGTTCGTCTTAGTTATAAATTTTGATTTAAAGTTTTTCTTCTCAAGAATTAACATTACATCTAAACATTCAGTCTTTGACTTTCATGTGTAAATGAATGGAATTCTGGCGATAAAATATGTGTGATTTTAGTCTTCTAAGATAAAATAACAGTTATTCGTTACATTTTCAGAAGTGCGTTACGCTTATTGCCAAGTATTAGACGACGTCATAAGACTGAAAAGATCAATTGTTGAAACTATAGAAACTTGGAACGCCAGGCTAAATGATCTAACAAACAAAAAGAAGGATAGTGATAAGAAGAAGGAAAAAAACACTTCTACTGAAATTGAAAAGTCTGTGGAGGATACACAAGAGTCGCAAGAGCCTACTAATATACAAATCGAGAAGGAAACACCAAATACATTGCCAAAAAAAATTAAAAGCTTAGATAGTGATAGTAAGTGTGATATAGTTGCCTCAGTAGAAGAAGGGATTGAACAATCATTCAAGCGCAAGATGAACAGAGTAAGTCAGTTCTATATGACTATTTTTTGTAGGCGATTCTGTGCCGCCATCTCCAAAGAGTCATCATAGATCACAGTCTGATGGGACCGTCATATCACAGGTTGAAGAATCTACAGATAGTAAGAAAGAAGAAAAAAAATATAAGAATATTTTGTCCCATTTGTTGCCATCTTCAGTGAATTCCACATTGATACCGGTATGTGTATTATGGATGCTTAATTTTATATCACATTGTATACATGCTGGTGCAGAAAAAAATGACATTTCCAGATTAGGAATTTATCCTAAATTAACAAAATATCAATGTAGCGGAGGTGTTAATAGTTATTTCAGACCTTAAAGACTGTAAAACTTCAATTTAAAAATATATTTTTCTTAGACAGGCAAGAACGCTGTCCACCATGTTTGGCCCATATTACTGTGATCTGACGTCATACAATTTGTAAACAGCATAACCTCTCAAACTTTTAAACATATAAACATGACTTCTGCTAAGACCCCAGGAAAACTGGAGAGCCCAGGGAAATAAATATACGCAACACTGTGTAGCTGTGTACTGCTTGGAACATACTTTATGCTCGAGACATATTTTACATTTTACTGTGCAGACTGTATCGTCTCGTTTGTGTTGGACCTAACCTACGGCATCATCACCGTACGATTCGCTTACTGATTTATTCAGAGATGAGCATGAGCTCAGTTTTGAACGAATTCTGGAAAGGAAGATTGTGTGAGTGTATTACTTATTATTTTTTTATGTGTATCATTATATGTTATTTTTCAATAAAACGAGAAAACGACAACTGCTTGCGTTCATTAGGTGTTTTTTTAGAAATATTTAACGAAGACAACGTTAGTGTAACGAGTGACATACGGATGACGTGTTTACAATTTGAATGACGTCACATCATGGCCGACGGTGTTTTTACCGTTTCGTATTAAAAATAAAAAACATCTTGCGCTTTTAAAAATTGAAATAGATATATTTCGTTTTCCTTAGGCAAATACTGTAAGAAATACTCATTTATTCTATGAAATTAGATATGAGTCAAGTAACCTATTCAGAGATAGCAAGGTAATTTTCGTGGATGTTTCTTTAAACACACATGAAACTGGTTGCTTAATAAATATATTTTAGAGGGCATATGCTCCGCTTGCCCGTCTAATAAGCGCCCGTGGTCGGGAACATTTTAGTACTCATGTTTATATGGAGTTTTCGTATTACTTTTTTATCTACTTTGTGCCTTAAGAATATTGGCCCTGTTTTCTGAATCGCCCTAAATAGTCTAATTATATTAGACGAAAATACCCCTGGTTTGCGAAATAATTGTAAAGTCTTGTCTGGATGAAACTTGTTCAAGGGGGTATTTAAAACATGGACGCATAGAATGGGTACACCAATTTTTGTGAGAAAACTTTTTATTCGATAACAAAAAATGCGAAAACGTATTTTTTGGGATTCAATTGTACCCGTTTTATGCGTCCATGTTTTAAATACCTCCTTGAACAACTTTCATCAATAAAACACGACTTGCAATTATTTCGGGGAAATTTGCTAATATAATTAGACTAATATAACATTCATTCCTGACGAAGGAGCGAAATTAGGAGGCGTTCGGGCTCTGGTTGATGTGGATGACTTTTAGCTATTTGTATTCATTCTCGAATTTCTGTGTATTTCTAGTCTCCGTTCAGCAGTCAAGAACATTATCTGCTACCAGAATTCTCTGTTCCTATAGTAGTTTACGAAAATGAACCAAGCTCTATAGTAGCATATACACTTAGCTCAAGCGACTATAAGAAATCTTTTGAGGAGCTCGTGACGAAGAAGAATCAGAACAATGATCAAACGCAAAGTCCTTTAAGTAAAAGGAAGGGGCAGAGTGATAAGGATAGAAATGAAGATGATAAGAGTTTGAGTATCTTGGGTTTTTTGAGAAAAGAAAAGGACACAAAGACTGAACCTAATGTTCAAACTACAAATAATACCGAAACTATGTACGTGACATTGATTTGTTTAAATTTTAAGACAGACCGCTATACAGGGTATCCCATTTTAATCTCACACGAAAATATTTCGAAAGTCTTTGTTTGAAACTTTTTTCTAGGATGCGTAGTTGTCGAAATATTAGGGTAGGAAGATTAAAATGGACACCCTGTATGACTTCAGCATTTTTTTTTTAGCACCGAGCAAACTACGGCTACGACAGAAAAGTCCGAGCATCCAAAGAAAAATCGTAACACCCACATTGAGGTGCAGTTCGAGGACTCAAACTGCAACTTTTTCTGTAGAGTATACATGGCGGAAAAGTTCGCCGCTCTTAGATCGAACTTTCTGCCCATAGGAGAGGAGGAATACATAAGATCTTTGTCACGATCTGCACAGTGGAATGCTAGAGGAGGAAAATCTGGATCAAATTTTGCTAAAACAGCAGGTTATTATTTCAATATCAAGTAGTAATTCCAGTTAGTCATGATAACATATTTAATCATGCCTCGTTTGATATTTTCTATTACCATTTTAGCAACTTAGATCACAGAATTCTTTCATTTTCAAATAGATATGATTCATAGACTCCATACAATTATTATTATTCATATGTGCTCATGTTGTCTAGCGTAAAAGGCAGATATGCTGGTAGGTTTAGCGTAGTCTTTTTTGTTCCGTAATTGGTACTGCTCGATGACTATCTAGCCAGATCAATATTTACAATGTCATGCTCAAATAATAGAATATCGGTTACTTAATATTACCACTATTCTATTTCTAGTTACATATTGTATGCGAGTACAATTATATTGCTGTATTTATCAGGTTATTTTTTTTGTTTAACCAATCTTTTTTTGTTTACTTTGTTTCTTCTACTTTATTTCCAAGATTGCACATCTATTGTTTTCTATTTTATTTTCTTTTTTGTTTCTACTTTGATATAATTTTTACTTTATTCTGATCTATTTTTAATTATTTTCTTGTTTTCATTCATTCTTTAAACATACTTATTATAATGTACATCTTATAGTGTTAAGCTCGTTTTACACTTGTATAAAAGCTAACAAGTTTGCTGGTTCTCAGAACTAGTAATTGAGTATAACATTTAGAGGCAAATGTGTTTCGATAAAGTTTGATGCAATTCGGTATTTTTTCTATTAGAATTTGAACATTCTAATATGACTTGCTGTAAGGTTCCTATATTTCCGTAACTGCAATGTGGATCATCCGTATTCAATTCTTAATTTATGGTGGGGTATCAAGACATGGCTACGTCTTAATCTACTCAAAGTTCTAATGTAAGGATGATTGGTAATTTCTTGAAACCTTTGGTTCAAAGAGTCTCTTGTATTTGTTTCATGTTGCTTCCGGTTGAATTGCGTTTATAATGGTTATTCCATTTATTCTTAAGTCATTGCTTGATTAGAAAATGCACGCCAGTAAAAGAAATGTTCATCCCCGGACGTAATCGCCTGTAGTTGTAGCTCTTTTTGCAAAATTATCTACCACCTCGTTTTCTTTTATGACTGAGTGATCAAGACCATGTTTAGAGTTTTGTTGATTCTATTCAGCTACTGAATGCGGTTGATGACATCCACTATATTATCAAGATCTGCAGTGGGATGACAATTATCCACTTTTGATATAGCACTTCTAAAGTCGGTAAAAATAACAAAATTATTTCCCTGGAATTCAAAACAGTATTCCGTGCTGTAAACAGAGCATTCAGGTGGTAACTTGAATTCTTGCTGATAGGAAATGTTGCTGTGATAAAATGCACCCCGTTAAATTTTCTTTCATCGAGCCATCCGTGAAGATACATATGTATATTCCCATCAACTCCATCGTGCTTGAATATCGTGTCGGAATTTGTATGATGTTAATAAATCTGGTTCGGAATTCTGCGGGTGAAGAGCTATATGCAGAATATTCAGGTCTGTAACATGGATTCTACCTTCTTGATAGTAGGAAGAAGCCACTCATAACTTTATAGCATTAGAGATAGCTTTTTGTGTTGCCAATAATTCACTGTTAATCCGTTAATCCGTAAACAACTTGTGGATCTCACTGATAAATACCTTGCAGACCATTTTGGCCAGAGCTCTGTCGACCTTCATTTTTTTGTCTCAACTGAAGTGGAGGTTCGATACATTCGACTTTCATAACATTGATAGGAGTGCTATTCATACCCAATACTCAGCATAAGGCACTTATTTTGGATCTGTTCTATTTGTTGGAGATGAATTCTTGATGCATTTCCGTAAAGTATTGATCTGTAGTCCTATATTCATTGAACGAAGGCCCTGTAAAAAAAACACACGAAAAATGTAAAAGAATATTCTCAAACTGTCAAGAGAGAGTCAAGAGATTTTTAAACGGAGTCAAGACCAAAAGAAAAAATCTGAAACTTCATTTTTCAGTTTCTCAACTGTCTGGACACTTAAGGCAGTAGTTTGCATTTGCACATTTCTTATGATCACTATTTTTACAGACGACCGCTTCATATTGAAAGACATGTCTAAGAATGAAGTTCAGCTATTTTTGGAAAATGCTGCCAATTATTTCGTCTACATGAACAAATGTTTCACGACTAGACAACCAACATTATTGGGAAAAATAGTGGGGATTTACCAAATTGTTTTCAAAAACAATAATAATGTGCCTCATAGAAGTAACCTATTAGTAATGGAAAATCTGTTCTATAACAGGACAGTGAAACAGAAGTTTGATCTTAAAGGATCCGTTAGAAATAGGTTGGTCGTACCTGATAATCAGGAGGGAGAAATTGTGCTTTTGGATGAAAATTTGTTGAAGTGTGAGTAGGACAAAAAATAGTATCCCCCAGAATGTAGAAACCCATTTCTTTCGTTTTTATTTTTTAGTAACGTGTGACTCGCCTTTATACATCTTACCACATTCCAAGTCTGTATTGATGTCTGCCATACAAAACGATACAGAGTTTTTGGCAACTCAAACTGTAATGGATTACTCTTTGCTGGTTGGCCTAGATGAGCAAAATAAGGAGCTTGTGCTTGGAATCATAGGTGAGTAAACTTGCAGTATTCTAGTTGAGACTGTGCTATCGCTTACCAGGAACTTTTTATTGAAAAAATTTATAAATTTGTCTTAGCTAGTCTACTTGTAGTCTGCTATGCAGGTAGTAAAAATGGGCGTCATGGAACAAAAAATGCCTTCAAATTTACCTCTGACGTCAGCAAGACATTGTTTAATAGTGCACTTTCTCGTTTAAGCCTAAGCAAGTCTGTGATTTTTCTCTACGGCATTTAGATACGTTAAATTTTTTCGACAAATGTTTTTTCAACTCGATTTTTGATCACTGCAAATAATCGATTTGCAAGATGTTGAAACGTAATCCCCCACGCTTGTCTAGCCAATAAAATCAGATGTATTGACAGAATCTTCTCTACTGTAAATGTTTCAATCACAGAGGTGATTTTCTTCAGTATCTTCAGATTTTATTTATCTGTCTTCCAGGTGACAGTTTATTTGTTTTCTATTTTCATTATCAAATTCCTATGCAGTGTGTTACAAGACTAGTTTGAAAATCCAGTAACATTCAAAGATTGCACGAAATCTTTATTCCAAATCTTAAGACGGCACCACGCAAGACCAGCATATCCTAGGACCGCCTGGGATAGACATTCCCTTTCCCAAAAAGGGACGTCCAGCCCTCCAAAACGACGAGCGAGCACGAGACTATATGTATATGAAATACTACTTCGACATCTAAATAACATCTGCGCGTTTCAATTAATCAACCAAATTGGGTCATAGTCCACAGAAGAACTAGAAAGACAATTTTTGTTTAATTTCATATTGGCTGATTCCTTTATCTTCCTTTTTGTAATTGTTATCCTCTTTATGTAGTATTGAGACTTTCCCATACATGTTCGATAAGTGCCGATTTTGAGGTTTCTCCCTTCATTCTTTTATTCTAGATTTAACCAGTCTTGATGTTTCACTGATGTAGAATTTACCGCAGTCACTGTCTATTTTATATATTTAATTTTTTGTGTCTTCATTTTCATTGGTAGGTTTTGTGGGGCACAGTAGGGATCTTAGTGTGCTAGTTGTTTCGAGGACAGTTTGACAAATTTTTTGCGAACACCTTCAAGTCTTTCTGAACTTCTTACGTATAGTATACAAAGTGTACTAGTTGTGGTTGGTAGCCCCAAGATGTCCCTTTTTGGAACAAGAATGCCTTCTCCAGGCGCGGTCCTGAGCTATGCTGATTTTGCGTGGTGCCATCTTAAAATTCAGTTTTCGCGCATCTCAGCATGTTAGGCGACTTTTAGAATATTGTAGGATCACACTGTATAGGAATGTGATACTGAAAAGAAAAAATAAATAAACTGTCACCTGGCAGACAAGCATGAGGGGTTATCGACATTTAAACCACAGGATAAGTTTCATATGTTATGTATTTTTATTTGTGTGTTATCGAAATTTCAAGTAGTATTAGGTATTACCAACTATTTATAGTGCACTGTATCGAATCTTTGTAGATTATATAAGAACGTTCACGTGGGACAAAAAGATAGAGACGATTGTGAAAAAGAGTGGTTTACTGGGTGGACAAGGTAAACTGCCAACAATAATATCACCTGATGATTACCAGAAAAGGTTCATCGAAGCCATGCACAGGTATTTCTTGGAGGTCCCAGATCACTGGGCTGGCTTAGGAAAAGGCCTGGATCTGTAAAATCCAAGACTTTATTTCATGTTTTTTATGGTTACATTGTAGGTCGTACATTTTTTAATATGCTTTGAGATTACTTTATCAAAGTATGGAAGATGTGTTGAAATGGGCTTTACCTTATACTAGTGAATATTGTATATATTTTTAGTTGCTCATTAAGATGACGAATTTTGCACTATAGTATTTCTACCTTCGTCATGTAAACGAGATATTTAGCGCGAAATGTATTTTACTGGTCGCCCATGATATAATCTCATATACTTTTTGAGTAACGCTTGACGTAGTCTTCATAAAAAATTCGCTCTGCCTGTGAGCCAAAATAAACTCGTGTACATATAAGTATATAGTGCATTTTCGTTTCTGTGTGCAAACGCTTAGTGGTGATATCATTTTGATTCCAAATGAAAAAGTATTTATATGTATAAAACATTTTATTTTTAAAATATATACTGTTTTCATAAAATACATGCTGCGTTTTTCTTATGCACTATTTCCTGTAGGAATGTATATAAATAAATCGAATATACAAAATATAATAGGAAAGGTATATAACATTATACATGGTATAAAAGGGGACATCTCTACATTACATTAGAATAACAAAAATTCTAACATGGGAGATACAAATTATGTATAATATATAACTACATCATGGGTAATATCAAGTCGCCCAAATGCAAAACTTTTTATGCACAAACTTTATTTGGATTGTTGAATGTAACTTATATGTACTAATATATCTCTATAGATTGTTGTTTCTTGTGTTGGCATAGTGTTTTTTATATTATGAGATCTATGATATTTCTGCAGATACAAATATCATTACTTGCCTCAAAAAGGAAAACATTGCGACATAACAGCTTTGCATTCCACAGACGAATTTTCAACGGCAAAAGTAACGTATTAAAAATTTACCTATTATTACAAACTCCTTACACAGATATTTTACTAAATACCTGATACGTAGCATATTTGGTCGTTGTCAAGAGAACCATTACACAGTAAGTACATAAACATTTCTCGAATATAGGTTGGCCGTTTCAAAAGAGTCTCATATATATATATATATATATATATATATATATATATATATATATATATATATATATATATTGTAAACAAAGTTCTGATCGCAGGGAGCGCTTGGGATTGACAGGTCAATTAGTGGATTGATTCAAGAATTTGGCAGAATGCACCACTTTGACTGGTCTTTCAAGTGTGACCAGCATCCCTAATAACCCAATAATTTGACATTCCAAAGACTAACTAAATGTTATAACTTATCAAGAATTTCACGGTTTTTAACTAAGCTCTGATATAAACCGAAGCGTACGTGAATGAAATATCCCAACATCCAAATAGATTATGTATGATGTGTGTTACAACATATAACTCAAGCAGTGTGAATCAGTGTGAACGGCAACATTGGCTCAGAGCTGCTCGTCCAGAGGTGTACCTTTTGGTAAACCGGGAGACGGGGTATCGAGACAGACGTCAAGATGCGCCACTAGGGGAGCCAGTGTAGTCATTTACAATATATGATGCTGAAGTTGTGTAATGTAAGACGTAACATACTGATGGCAATAACTGACTTATGTGCGTGTATACATGGAATATATTCGGTTCCGAAGTCAAATCAAAGCCCTCACAACATTAATGTTACAATAGTGTTAAAGTGATTTAGATTGTTTTATTGTTTATAAGTAGATATTCATATTTCAATAATATTTCTGGCGCATGTATGGCATATACGTATATAAAAAATTATTCCGTGAATAGTGATATGTATCAGTGAATGTTCACATTCTCCTGAATTTGCGGTAACATAAATTGCATACTACATTGAAGCAACATCAATGTGCTTAGACAATTAACATTTAAGCATGGCGGATATATACTGTATTACAAAAGGCTGTATTAGTGAAATGCCAGTATTATAAATTAGTCATAGGGCTCCCTCTATCCTCTCTAAATTTTGAATCCCCTGTTTGGATCAGGACGTAAATTTTAGAATAACACAGAATACTGAAATGCCCTGTATAATATACGATAGGAACAAATTTCTTTGATCACTCAGAAACATACTCTGTAAAAAATTCGATGGCTTACTCGAATCACGATTGTATGGTGATAGGTACAGTCTTGAAAGTTATGGCTTCATCAGTCAGCAAAGGCCTCTTCTCTTCTTTCTTTTTTGGTTGCTTCTTCTTTCCTCTATTCACAACGCCATCTTCTTCATCCATCATCCTAATGATCTGCATCTGATCCGAGGAGTCGATTGGAGCTACCGAAATGTCCCTCACGGCTCTGAACTTACCGCAGTTGTTCAAATGTTCGTTCTCCAATCGGAAGAAGTTCCACACGAACCTGCGGAAGACCTCCAGAGGAGCTAATACGGAGGTCATTATATCGCTGCCGATGTATCCCGCTTCTGTCAGGTACACGGATAGCACCCAGATGAATCGCAACATGAAGTCTTCGATTATTGCAAAGTAATAGAAACACTGCAACAATGAGATTGCTGGTGTTAAGATGTCTACAATAATGATTGGTGAGTGGAGATGATAGTGTATGGGTTGATACAACACAAATCAACCAATATTGCGACTTATGTAGATCTGGTAATATATGAACAGCTATTTCGTGCTATTTACCAACTCTTCAGTATGGTGCAGGCTTTGTCTCGATGGACAACGAACGAAAGCTATCCACCTAGACTAAATATACACCATGCTGGAGATCGGACGAAAAAGCTGTCAATGGTTGGCCATCTGTGGTCGGACGAACGAAAGGGCTTGGCTTGCAGCATTCCCCTTTTATAGGGGATGCAAAATATCTGAAACCTTAGCCATTACAGGCCCTCGCAATGCCAAAGTAGGTGCATTGGGGTTTATTCACGGTCTTTGCGGAAATGGCACATATCCTTTACTTTTTTTTGAAGAACCACTGTGGCCATGAAATCTAATGCTCCTGTTCTTGTATGAACTTTTTTCTCTGTATCTGGTCTGACTCACGATACAGATACAGATAGGATATTGCGCATGTGGGCGGAACTTCGTGACGTCACCCGGAGAGTTATCGGCTCGTGGTTATCAGCGGCTGGATTGTCGTAACGTTACTGCAGTTCACGTGTATCGTGGTTAATACTATATAGTGCGATTTGTTGGTGGTTTTGTGACTTGTAGTATTAGTTATAAACACCTTATATACCCTGTGTGGTTGATAAATTGATAAAACTGCGGTGTGCTGTTGTGGGATGTAATTCCGACAATCAATCTAAACGGAATCTTTGCAAAGACATGAAGTTCCACAGTTTTCCTCAAGACCCAAACATCAGCAAAAAAAATGGCTACATCTTACAAAAAGATAAGACAAAGTCAATGTAAAAAGCGCTAGGGTTTGCTAGAAAATTCTCTAGAGGATCTGAAACGACGCTTCAGCGTCCAATACCTGTTAACAAGACGTCTTAATCAAGATGTGATAGAAAACTTTTTCGGAGTAATTTGGGCAAAAGATGGTCATATACGTTGGGGCGAAACGAAGGCGCATACTCAGAGTACCTATTGCAGCGTAGAGTCAGAGGATACTCCAGACATTCCACTAACCACTAACCGCATCATTAACGAGAATAAACTGAATGCACCTGAAGTATCAGCTGACTATACCGAGCAAGTTTTAGTGGAAGAAATAGATGAGCTCGAGTATGACGGGCTGGAAAATTTGTCCGGCTTTGTTTGCAATAAATTGCAGGATGAGAGGTTGAAAAGTTCCTCAAATGAAACTTATTCATGGATAGACCATCTTAGTGAGGGTGGATTATCAAAACCATCCGCAACTTTCATGAATCAAATTGAGAAGCTGAACAAGGTATTCACTACATTCAATGGGGACGGAATAGTGACAAAAAAGCAAAATTTTATAGGTCAACTTCTGTTGAAGAGCAGCAACATTGACTGCCCTGAAAAAGTTAAAAACTGTTTTTTAGGTCAAGGATGTTCTTCCGGATCAAAGAACTGAATAGAAGTTTGAAAGACCAGAAAAATCGTAAAAGGAAATGGAAAAAAAATGTTGCTTAGACTAAGTCATTTCCATTTATTGTTATACCACCACCTTACTGCAAAAAGAAGATAACTCCATTTTTCTACTTTTCGAGTTGCGTAAATTTTCACAATTACATGTACTTAGAATGTTCTGTGGAATAAGGATAAATGTAGTACAGTATTATGACATCAACATTGTTAATTCTGCTCCACAGAACATACTAAAATATAGGTATTAAAATCCACCATTTTGTTTTGTATAAAATTTTATTGAAACTAGTGTCACTCACACCGCTAAGACGAATCCAACGACACCTCATATGTGAAAATCTATCAAGCCGTTTGATCTGTAGCCTATGAAGTAGGAACTACAAGGTTGAAATCTTTTATTAAAATCCACCATTTTGTTTTTTATAGAATTTCAATGTAGCTAGTGTCACTCGCACCGGTAACACGAATCCAACGACACCTCATATGTCAAAATCTGTCCAGCCGTTTGGCCTGTAGGTGAAAATATGCACGTTATCCATATCAACCCAAATGATAATCATTCTCCGCCTGACGTCATGCGCGCCGGCGGACGAAAATCGAACAGCGGAGCATACGGCCCTGAGTCTGACTAGTCGTTTCATTCCTTGGTATTCTTTCTTGGTTCTCTCTTTTATGAGTTGCTTTTTCTGCGTTCTAGCTACACCACAGAACAGTCTGAACCTATTGAGCTACTTTCCTTTTCGGGTGAACTAACCCGATTTTCTTTGTTCCCCATTTATTGTGTGTTTGTTTAGCAGAACAGTTTCTAATAGTATCTGTATGCTCAAATAAGTCAAAGAAGAAATTAAGAAATTTTCAGTACTGAGCTACAAGAGGGTATTTGCTAGCAAACTATTTTGTACTATCTTTATTTTTCTCTAGTTGCAAATTACGTCTTTTACGTATTCACATCACATACACAATAAATGCACAACAGTTTATTAAGAAGTGACTGTATATCGATCTTACCGTAGAAGAGTAAACTATCTCTTCCCTCAAGAACTTATTCTCTCCAGCTGATTTGTCTAGCAAACCCCAGTCCATTTTTATGTCCCACGTATAGGCGTATGAAGAACTGATTATCTGCGCAACAATCCACAGAAAAACATATGGATTGTCAGCAAATGATTTATAATCATCTGGAAATAGAAAAATGTATTTTTTGCGTGGAAATTCCAATAATATGAACTATTATTTTGTTCATTAATAATTATTATTATATAAGAATTTTACATATATTAATTTTCTACCGATATAACGCTAGTCCTACCTTTGTAAACGGCTCGCAATGTTCCAAAGATCACAACGAAAAATGTTGATGCATATTTTCCAGCATTAACCAAATGTGGAAAAGCTTCTCTCGTATCATAATATCTCCTCAAACACTGGGCAAATCGCAGCCAAGCAGGGATACAGTTTACAATTGGTCTGATAATGAAATTTTTCTCCATGCACATTGACGTATCTACAAAAAATACACTATTTAAAATGTTCCCAACAAGTGTCGCTTGAATTTAAGCTAACCATACAGGCTAATGATGCAAGTTTATAAATAGGAAGGTTGACTTGTGGCAAACATTATATGTATAACTCAAACTCGAGAACTAATTACAATTTTATGTTTGAAATTTCTTAAATCTTAAATAATATATTTACCTCCTGCCTCCAACCAGTTGCCATTAGTGAGGTAAAAACATACCAAAAACTGAAAATCTAACAAGGCTGTCACAAAACTATTCAGTTGATCTGCCAGCCAGAAATCAGCAAAGCCCACATGAAAAAAGGGTGCACCAAACATTCTACCCTAAAATACAATTTATTATTTTAATATTAACTATTATGTGACAGCATGTTATCTGACTACAGATAACCTGTACAGGTATACCTCAAAAACTAACATGTAACTTCAACTCAGTTTTATTTGTAGTTTATATTGATTTTGTTTAAAACGTACTCACACATATTCGTAAAAACCAGAACCTTGCATCGTGTCTAAACACCTTCAATGGGTTGAATAAAAAGGCCAACATCACAATAACTAATGCCAGAGGGCTCACGTAAGGCGGAATGCTCAGACTTGCACTGTACAAGAAGTTCAAGATACTTAAAGTCCATACTACACCAAATATTGCTGCAAGTTCCATCAGGTGTTGCTCAGAAAGATGATTTCTGGGGTCCAGTTCGAAAATCAATACATGGTTAACACCTATAAAACGATACGAGTTTGTGAACATTTTTGTTTTCATTTAGGGCGTGGTGTGGTCACAAAAAATTGCTTACCTGATGATCTCCAACCATATACATTGACACCTATGAGAAATAGGAACTCTATGAATAGTAGAGGGCCTCTGTATAACCTGAAGGCAACTTTCAAATTTTCTGTGGATCCTTCATGGAATATGGCTGTAACAGCAATGTCAGTTATGCACTATCTGAAGATTGTATCTTCCATAAAAAGCATAGTTGTTGTACGACCTTGATAAAGATAAAGGATCCTTCCCTTCAAATCACGTGAGATCAAATAAGCCGTCATTTGTTATGCGACTATAAAGCTGAGCAAGACGGTAAACGCTTTAGGCCGCGGCGCACAGTGTGAAAACCTTGAATCGCGTACTTTCTGTTTTCTCGAATAACAAACTGTACGGTACTAACGTACTTTGACATAAAGGCAAAGGTCCTGTCCTAATCAAGTGATATACAATGTTAAAGATAGTGTATAAAGCAAAAACAAAATTATGGCTTACCAGATAAAACAACAGCTATAAGTAGTACAATAAAAGATCCAGAGAAAAGTCCGACTTTAAAAGTAGTCCAAGGGGACTGTTGCTCTCCTAATGGCGGAACTCTAAGTCTTTTCATCGCTTTAGGCCTATCACCACCTTCCAGTTCATTAGTCACAGCATCTTCAGTGTCTTTGATTAGCTTATCGATGTCTTTATTTGTGAAAAAGTGCGATGTTTCCACGTGCTCTTCCCTCCATTTTGCTCCAAAATTTGAATTCAGCAACTACAAAGATATAGAATTAGCAAAAAATCGGTTGAAGATATCAAGTAGACTGACTTGGCGCTTCTCACTTCAAAGTAATTCAGATAAAAAAATGATAATTATTACAGTTCCATATAAACTTTGGTATGACTGAAGAGACCTACAACCTGAAAAACATTCGAAAATGCCGTGCAGTAGGTTGCCCCTGCACTTCCACGCAACGCCGTCGTCAGTTCATGATTGGATTATGGTCATCACAAGTAAGAATCTGAGAAAAAAAATGCGCTACGAACATGTATAACAGAGAAATTAAACGGATCAAGTCAATCAAACAGGCGCATACAATTAATCCATAGACATTATTTCCCTGCACCATTCATCTGGCAACGTCGCCTTTCCCCGTTACCTGACCGCATGACGAGTCAGTAATTCCAGGACAGTTATCAACACCGTCACGCCCGTCTTTGAAACGACATAGCAGAAGCAGGGATGCGTATCGAAGTTTTAAGGGTAAATGTAATGGTGAAATCTATTATGTGTGAAATATATTTAATAGGTGCGTAGAATTGCCAAAGCTGGAAGCGTGTAAATATGCCAACATAAAAAATTGAGATATACCCTCCACCACCCAATTTTTAACCTTTACAATGTTTATTTTAATTTTTCCGTTTTTCGGTTCGTAGCTCCAATGCCACTGGACCGATCTTCAAAAACTACAAAGCCTTTTTGTCCTTGGTACAGTAGTAAGCTTGAGTAAAAATTTCATTCAAATCCGAGCGGCACTTTCCAACTTATAGACGGGCCCAAGGATTAGCCGACAGACTGACCGACGGAAATGAATGAGTTGGTTTTTCGTGATTTGAATGTCATATAATATCCAAAAAACATCTCATTAACGAGATTTTTTACAATACTTAATTTTTTGTCAGTATGCGCGGGAAGTAACAATGAGGTTCCTGAAATATCATATTTTCAAGTAATTTCGAGTTTATCACGGCTAAAACTGATTAGAATAAGCCGTTTGGAGCCAAAAGATTTAACTTTATCTTTTATTGGGACGTTGAAGGAGAAAGTTGTTTCAACCAAGTCAAATTTTGGTATTATCACCAGAGTCGCGTACGACAAGGTTAGGCTGAGGAGTTGATTTGTCTTATTTCAGTGTTATTTTTGCCACAGAAAGTGAACTCAGTGCGTTATTGTCCCAAAATTGACAAGAAGAGACTACAACCTCGGCATGGGGATTCGATCCCTAACTTCTGGGGCTGAAAGAGGGGACATTTCAACTATGCCCAAAAGAGGGAGCATCAGGATCGAAGTTTGTTGGTAATATACACTTAAATCGGTAGCAAGTATTGACTATTAGAATATTTTCTCACCTTATCATGTTTCTTGAGAATCTTCCTAAAGCCAGTATAATTCAACGTCTGGTAATTCTGCAGCAAAATAAGGCTGAGATAGAACTCACTGAATGCCAACTTCAATTCTTGCAACTTCCTCGATGGAATCTTCTTTTCGCCAACAGCGTGCTTCTTTTGTGTACCCATGTTGTTCATCAACGAATCTTTGAGTTCGCTGTATAAGTTCGCGAACTTTCTGTGCGCCTCTGCTAACTTTTCAGCGTAAAATGTGTTGATCTTTTTTAGTTCTTTGTCGCAGTATTGGAAAAACTGCTCGTCGAAGTTGGCGAAGTGACGTTGCAGGATCTCCGGCTCCACACTTTCTGCTGAAGGCGCCTCTTCCACAGCCATATAAAGCATAGCTTTCATTTCCTGGAATGATTGTTGCCATTATATACAGGATGTTTTAAAGTCGGGCATGTCGTTTGCACAGGGTATAGTTTCTATAAAACTAAGCAAACTTTTCTTGTACCACATAGAGGTCTGTAAGTTAAGTGATGAGGGTGGCAATGTAGCGTTCGATCTGCCAACACTGGACGCCCCGGACTTGGCGGGGAGATAGGGGAACATGTAATCCTCCTCCAGTAGAAGTTTGAACTCGCTCGAGCATTTGGTTGTCCATAGCAATTTTTTTTGTTAAATAGTTTTTCCTATTGTGTTCTAAAAATGAAAGGATTCTCAGGTTTTTCAGTGGTTTAAGGCATTTTCAGAAGGGAGTGAGTTGATTGACAATGAGCCACCACTGTATTCAGATGATTTTCTTATACATATCCATCACAAGCAACATAGGTTTGCTTATCTCATACAAAGGCTGTTTGTATAAACAACATCAAGGGGGGCAAAGTAGAAGGCCAGGACAGCCCAAAATAAAATTGAGGAAAAAGGAACCAGTTTTCCTGAGTTTATTTGCAATATTGAGACATATTTGTATTTTGAAGCATACCCTTCTTTTTCTGTTTTTCAAATTTTAAACCCTCTGTACTTGTAATATTTTTGTAAGAAAAAGAGAACAATCAAAATTTGGGGTTTTTCTGACTTTCACAATGATTTAACGTTTTTCTCTGAAAATTTCTGACCATTCCTGACCAATTTTCTAAAAACTCTAGAGGTAGTTCAGGAAGGATCTACGTGTCTACTCGGAAAAATATTCTTCTTCTGTTTTTTTTTTGCATAATCTTAACCAAAAAGGGCCCCTTTTAACGAATTTGCATGTTGCCAGGCCCAGCATTGCATTATACAAACATTTTTTATTCAAATTTCAAAAAATTTGTTAGTTCCTTCTGCTTAGTTTTTTGGTCATTCTGAACAAAAAAGGTCCTTATTAACTGTTCTCTAAAATTGATGCTAGCCGTGTATGTCTCTTGATACTGTTTCTTTCTTTTTTCGATAATCTAGATATTCAAATAAATGAGTATCTTCAGTTGTCAGTTGATATGCTCTAAAAATTTTCCTGGTTGCGCGAGCGGTCTAGTCCGTCCCTGTGTAACTAAATACTATTTAATCATTGCTTCAAGATTTTTCAAAAAAGGGGTCACTTCATGGTAACTTTTAGCCTATCATGTTTGTTACACTGACAGACTGATGTCAACATGAGAGGAACAATCACATGAGACTGACAGAGAGTTAACCTAATAAAATAAAATGGTTTTTCAAAGATTGGAAACATCTTTGGTTTGAGATACATCTCTTGTCATAATGAAGAAGCAGTACTCACCTCGTAATTTATGTATTGTTTCCTCCATTCTGGTGTAATATGAGCAGCTAAATGTTCTGCGAATTTCATATTTTTTTCAGCTACTTTTTCTTAACGCTGGTCGAAAACAGCATCTAAATGTTATTGATAGTAGATGCAGTCATTCCACTTCAATTAAATCACCTTCAAAAGGTGCCTATTATCTTCATAGAGATATCAAATATTTTGTTTCAACTGATCACTACGTTTGCACAACTAATAACGTACACACGTAAAATAAGAAAGATTATCCTTGTTTATACTTCAAATATTAGAGCTCATATCCATTATAATTGTGTGCACTGTATGGAAATTGTATATGCACAATAAATTAGTGTAGTTTAAAACGATAAGACAAAAAAGTGTCTACTAAAAATAAAAATGTTTCATTTGGAGCTGTCAACATTTGCAACCAGTCTTACGAAGTTGCAATACTGGTTACATATTCAAGGCCATAAATGGTATTAATTTTCTGACGTACTATTATTTCTTAATGTTATTATAATTATCATTATATTGTAATAATTTATAGTACTACAATAGTGATGAGTCAAAAAGTTCTTGCTAAACAAAATAAGGAATCCAATTTTTGTTAGACAAGGATGTTGAAGATATTGAAGAAGCAGTGCAGTAGCAGCTACTAGTGCAGTGCGGGTGTGGCAACAGTGTAAGATTTACGTAACCGGTTGAAGTTCTGTTGAGTGTTGAGTTAAGCTGCTCACATTTTTTAAAAAAGATTCAATTTTAGATCAAAACTGTAGAAAATGAGTGCTTGGAGAGCAGCAGGTCTCAAGTAAGTACAACTCACTAATATTCTCTTGCTTCCCCGCATCATATTAGAATAGGTTATGTTCGAAGCTCTATATCTCCTTATCAGCCTCTTATCGATTTTTTTTGTATTCATGTTGATATTTTCTGGTACTCAGCTACATCAACTATTCCAATATTGCCGCTAAAATGTTGAGGCAAGCCTTAAAATCTGACATCAGGGCAGAGGCAATGAAGCGAGCTGATACCCACATTAAAGTCACAAAGTGGGAGAATGGAAAGCCCATCAGTAAGTACTACCTTTTCTTCCTTATAAATTATTGGTATCATTGCCAGCATTAACGTATTACGTTAATTGAAGGCCTAAAGAGTAGCACCCCTTTTTTTAAGTAGTATAGATATAATTACTTTTGGTCCTTGTATGTCCCAAAAATATGGCGAATACAACTATCAATTAGATACCTATTATCAGACAGAAAACTTCATTTAATAGAGAGAATATAATAGAGTTTAAAAAGATATTATCCTGCATCTCCTAAACTATTCCTTTTCTAAGATATACATATTTTGAATGTACCATATAAATCAATTATGGTTGAGGTCCGCCAAGTCTCAATGTGTACTGGAGAGAAGCATGCAGTATATATGTTAGAAAGAGTGCCTGTGATCTTCCTATCTATCATTGCCAGGTAAGATCATGATCACTTGTTCACACTTTTTCTAGAATGTGTGTTGCATTCTTCCCTCTCTTAGACATTGAAACCCAACTGATCTCAACCATAATTGATTCGCACAGTATACAGAAGCAATATTTGCTTATATATAAGCCAAAGATATCACATGTTACATAATATATATATATATATATATATATATATATATATATATATATATATATATATATAATTAGAGGTGTCAAATTAAATTGATATAAATTTTATACAAGTATTACAGAATTAGTTTGAAATTCAAGGCTTCCACAATATGAATAACTAAATAAATATTTGAATTAGAAAATAATTATGAAGCGTCAGCTTATACATTTTTGTCAGGTCCATAATTATTATATCAAGTGTATGAGGCCCTTGAATGGGTTAAACATTTATATTTTCTTTGTAATATGACCAAATATTAAAATCACATATTCATTGAGCTTTGATGTTACAGATGCTCGTGATTAAGTAAGTTATTGGTTTCTATTGTGATATTTGGTTTTGTGTACTTTATAACAATATATGTAGTTCACTGCAGTTTAAGTATACCCATCCTTACACAAAGACAACCAGGACAGCTGTGAACATATTTTCTAAACTCAACTTTTTGAAATTGCATCCTATGTTTGTGGTGCTTTGCTAAACATAACTGACATAACCTACCTCTTTGTGTGAATATCTGATGACTTTATTTATGTTCTGCTAACTGTTCCAATAACACTAACAATGTGTGTTACTATTGAAGATGTAATTTACTATATCAGCATACTAATACTTTGACTTTCTTTACAGAAGAATCAACCTGGTAACCTTCAATAGTATAAGTTTCAAATGATATAGCTTTATGGTCATAAAATGTGTCTGTGGTCAATAAATTGTTATTAATTTGTTCAAAATGTATTTTATTGATTTTAACCACCAGATTACAAAATATGTTTAGATCCTGCTATGACAGATGCTTTAGATTATCTATATTCAACCATATTATTGAATTATTACATTGGCCAAAACAAGATATATCCAGTTTTTCACAATAAATGTTGTTGAGGATCAGTCAGAATTTTAGGACCTTCTCCAATTTTTGTATGGATGATATATTTGAGACATCCTGGCTCTTGAACAGGGATGTTCAGTGCCATTTTTAAATCCTGAAAGCAAATGGATATAATTAAAACTTGGCTAAAACCTGGTAAAGATAAAGTGAATAATCGAATTAAAGATCTAAGGTCATAATGCAAATTAAGAGAAAGTAAACTTTCCACCCCACATTGACATTCCATAGCAGATTAATATTTCTTACCTGTGACAACTGATTGGATGACAGAGGCAAACCCTTATAATACTCTGCAGTATCTTGAGGTGGGAAAAGATAATTTATAACTGACATGAACTCGTCTACACTCGAATCTAATAAGTACAAGACTGCATTGGGGCCTGCATCATATGTATATGCCACCTGAAAAAGAGTTAAAATCAATTCTATAACAATATATTTTATATTTAATGTAAATTCTGTCAAATGAATGCATACAATGTTAAAGCTGCTTGATATATAGAAGTGACATATAAATCCGAACACCCAGTTTAAATGGTTTTATTTTAATAAAAGTTGGTGAATGTATTTATCTTACTGTAAATAACAAGTGAAAAAATTTTCAGCCTTATCAGTTGGACATTCCGGTTTTTATACTGCTTTTTTTTAATTCACTAACGTTCTAAAAATGAATATTTCAGCCGCAACGTTGGCGGATTTTGGATCTTGACATCCTTTACGATCGGTTACGATGCCTAGAGTGCGGAGACCTGTACGATTTCGTCAACTTAGTGAGTTTGATAGGGGCCGTATAGTGGGACTTCGGGAAGCTGGACTTTCTTTTCGGGCAATTGCAGTTAGAGTGCAAAGAAGTGTAGACACTGTGGTTAGGTGTTGTCAGGCATGACTTCGAGAAGGCCGTACGCAAAGAGCAAGGGGCACTGGACGCCGCCGTAGAACAACAGACCGTGAAGATCGCCGCCTAAGATTATTGGCCTTAAGGGACCGTTTCTCTACTACCAGGTCCATTGCAAATAAATGGTTTGCAGAACACGGAAGACCTATTGGCATGCGAAGTGTTTACCGACGAATGAGAAGTTTTGGCTTGTTTTCATACCGACCACACTGGGTCCTCCCTTTAACTCGAGAACACCGACGTAATCGCCTTGAGTGGTGCAGACAACGGTCACTCTGGGATCAGGAATGGAACAGTATTGTCTTTAGTAACGAGTCTCGATTTTGTTTAGGCATGCACGATGGTCGTGCCAGGGTTAGAAGGCGACGTGGTGAAAGGAGGAATCCACAGTTTTTTGTTGAAAGACATGTTCATCACACTGTTGGAGTTATGGTTTGGGGTGCTATAGCTTATGGTTCCAGGTCACCTTTAATCTTCATCAGAGGTAACATGAACGCGCAGCGTTATATCCACGAAGTTCTAGAACCCCGTCTTTTACCCTATATTGACACCCTGGCAGATCCAACTTTCCAACAAGATAATGCCCGACCACATGTTGCAAGAGTCACAATAGACTTCTTTCAACATAATGATGTCACATTGTTACCATGGCCACCAAGATCTCCCGACTTATCCCCAATTGAGCACGTGTGGGATATGATGGGTAGGAGATTGCTCAATTTGCAACGTCCTCCTCAGACTCTAGAAGCACTTCGAGAGGAGTTGGTGGTTGTCTGGAATGAGATACCACAGGAGGACATTGACCACCTGATCAGAAGCATGCCTAGGCGCGTTGGAGAATGCGTAGCACATCAGGGTGCATCCACACATTATTAAAGGTCAAAGGGCTTTAAAGCAGTGCAATCATTTTGAAATTTTTATCATTTACTTATTATGCTTCATTAAGTACTTATACAAAATTTTATTAAAATAAAACCATTTAAACTGGGTGTTCGGATTTATATGTCACTTAGTATATATGAACAGCAAAAGCGTATACATATTACGAATCCTAAAAAGGTAAGTTTTTTCGACATTATTTAGGTTTTCCAACAAGATTTCAACTTGAAACTAGCTGTCGTTCAGTTCATCCTCACTTGTAGCAAGCGTGGAATGAGGTATTTGCATACTAGCCTACTTAATCAACAAGTTGACATTTTATAGGTTTTTCGCATTATATAGGTTTTTTACGTAATAACCCTGAGGGTCATTTTTTTATTTTATCAGAACGCTAATTTGACAACGTCCTGTTAGAGTAGTTGCTATGGAGGCGACGTTTCTATAAGGAATGCGATGACGATGTGGAGTAAGATTTTATGATATGCCGTTCTCCCCATTCACGGCGCTATATCACGTCTGATTTGATGCAAACTCAACCAAGAACTATTTATTCATGGATATACACTTGATATCCGAATTATTCGGGGAAATGTAGAGTATCAATTTTCATCCAGTTGAACGTCCAAAATTGGCCGCTCCGCTCTATTTGGAGCCGGCGGTACTATAGAAAAAGAGCACTTGAAAAAGTGGAGTGACGACGACCTTTACAGTACGCTTGATGCTCGACTTACGCTTTTGCTGTTCATATATACTAAGTGACATATAAATCCGAACACCCAGTTTAAATGGTTTTATTTTAATAAAATTTTGTATAAGTACTTAATGAAGCATAATAAGTAAATGATAAAAATTTCAAAATGATTGCACTGCTTTAAAGCCCTTTGACCTTTAATAATGTGTGGATGTACCCTGATGTGCTACGCATTCTCCAACGCGCCTAGGCATGCTTCTGATCAGGTGGTCAATGTCCTCCTGTGGTATCTCATTCCAGGCAACCACCAACTCCTCTCGAAGTGCTTCCAGAGTCTGAGGAGGACGTTGCAAATTGAGCAATCTCCTACCCATCATATCCCATACGTGCTCAATTGGGGATAAGTCGGGAGATCTTGGTGGCCATGGTAACAATGTGACATCATTATGTTGAAAGAAGTCTATTGTGACTCTTGCAACATGTGGTCGGGCATTATCTTGTTGGAAAGTTGGATCTGCCAGGGTGTCAAGATAGGGTAAAAGATGGGGTTCTAGAACTTCGTGGATATAACGCTGCGCGTTCATGTTACCTCTGATGAAGATTAAAGGTGACCTGGAACCATAAGCTATAGCACCCCAAACCATAACTCCAACAGTGTGATGAACATGTCTTTCAACAAAAAACTGTGGATTCCTTCTTTCAGCACGTCGTCTTCTAACCCTGGCACGACCATCGTGCATGCCTAAACAAAATCGAGACTCGTCACTAAAGACAATACTGTTCCATTCCTGATCCCAGAGTGAGCGTTGTCTGTACCACTCAAGGCGATTACGTCGGTGTTCTCGAGTTAAAGGGAGGACCCAGTGTGGCCGGTATGAAAACAAGCCAAAACTTCTCATTCGTCGGTAAACACTTCGCATGCCAATAGGTCTTCCGTGTTCTGCAAACCATTCATTTGCAATGGCCCTGGTAGTGGAGAAACGGTCCCTTAAGGCCAATAATCTTAGGCGGCGATCTTCACGGTCTGTTGTTCTACGGCGGCGTCCAGTGCCCCTTGCTCTTTTCGTACGGCCTTCTCGAAGCCATGCCTGACAACACCTAACCACAGTGTCTACACTTCTTTGCACTCTAACAGCAATTGCCCGAAAAGAAAGTCCAGCTTCCCGAAGTCCCACTATACGGCCCCTATCAAACTCACTAAGTTGACGAAATCGTACAGGTCTCCGTACTCTAGGCATCGTAACCGATCGTAAAGGATGTCAAGAACCAAGATCCGCCAACGTTGATTCTTTACTGCGGCTGAAATATTTATTTTAGAGCGTTAGTGAATTAAAAAAAAAAGCAGTATAAAAACCGGAATGTCCAACTGATAAGGCTGAAAATTTTTTTCACTTGTTATTTACAGTAAGATAAATACATTCACCAACTTTTATCAAAATAAAACCATTTAAACTGGGTGTTCGGATTTATATGTCACTTAGTATAATTTGCGCTATAGGAATGTCACTTTTTTACTCTGTAAATTGACGCTAAGAATGCGGTGTGTCTGACGTTCGTACATAACATATGCCTACGGCACTATATTTGCTATATTTATCAAAGAGTAATTGGATGACTAAAAGTTGTTAAACATTAAACAAACCTTGATGGATATAAAATGTGGGATAAATTACAACCTCAACATGGTACGGGGCGTAATTGTTTACCTTCTTTTCAAAACGTTGAAAGTTCAATTATTTACCGAAAAAACAGTGGAAGGCAAACACGGCTAATTACATCATAACTCTTTTCTCGTCGTTTACTTAACAATTAAAGTGTTTTATATATAGATCTAATTACTTGGCTAAATATAATTAGGCATATGCCTGCTTGTTTGCTACACGCGGTAAATTTTGAGAAGCTGCATCTTCAGTTTTTTTATACTCCACCTAAACACCCATGGGGTACCGTGGGGCTATAGGAAAATACAAGGGTAAAGAGGGGGACGCCACAGGGACTCTAGCGAGGGAACACGTGTGCATGCACACATTCTGGCTCCGCCTACGATATCCGTCGGGTGGTACCTCCGCGTACGACAGTCAGAAACCGTCTATCACTTTCAGTTAATGGAGGAAAACACATTTTCCGAAACTAGTAGAAACTTGACTGCGTTGAGCTAGCTAGCAAGTATTTCATATAGTTCTGGACGGATCTTTCATAACGTCATAGAAATAAGGCACGTGGACAAAATTGCATGGGGTAATGAGAAAAGCGAGAAGTAGATGCTGCTGGTAAGATTGGTCATGTCTAAGGTTATACAAAGTTTGACAGAATTGTCAGATTGAAATTAATTTTTTTCCTAACCTCACATACACTTCAAACTCGTCTTAATCTGCCAAATCCTACGAATTCAGACTAGGTAGTAGAAGTCAAGGATTTGTTTGTCTGCTTATTCTCATAGTCTGCAGTGAGGATCATAGTGCACTTGTCAGTGTAGTCATTTTTTGATTGCTCTGTCATTAAATTTGTAGTTTTAGTATTATTTTTTAAAAGTACTAGTTTTCGCAGATAATTGTGATGTTAGACGATTTCAAAATGCGCTACTTCTTAGATTATTTGCAAGGAGCGGCACAAGCCTAATGAAGATAGATGTTTCCACCAGAAAGTATAATTATGTTGATACAACGCTGCCACTTTGGCAGGCAAATGAGTAAGAATTATTCACAAAAACTACGCAATTTTGTCGACAAACAATGCAATGTAAACATATAGGCCTTCTAGTCTATTCGAATTCGTTGGTTAAATATGTATTTTCCCCATCTACTTTGAAAGTTTGATCTTCAACCACTCTAGCGCTGCATAGTGGAGCAAAAGAGCCACATCAATGCGATAAAGAAACAACAAGATCCTGATATTAGAATTTGAAAATGAAGCATGAAAAATCAAAACACCATCTATAATGAAACTAACATGGAAACCAGGTATTGATTTGAAAATTAAAAGAAACACTTGAAATGTCGGAACCAATTTGCTGAGATGTCACCCTTCAAATATAAATCACCATTAGTTAACCAGAGGGTCAATTTAGAAAACGGGGGTGTTGAACAACTATGATAGTAGGCGTGCTCCTGTTACTTTTCTGGGATTTATATTATTTAACATGATAGCTTCCTGGATAATTCTCAGGAGAAAAATTGCGGAAGTCTCATCGTCGTTCATCAGTTTCATCTCTAAATACGAGTTTGGGGGAGACACTGTCATATACATTAAACTTACAACACCCTTCTACGCCGAAGGTTTAAAATAGGTGTTTCTATAGAAATTAGAGAATACTCACTTTGTTTGACGATTTGAATTCATTATAAGCGTGAACGGCATTAGCAACAGTATGGGATGTGTCATTCAAATAAACACAAGGCGGATATGTGTCTTGACATATTGCATGGATGCTATTGGATTCCTTCATAGTGATCTCAGCAAAGATTTCAAGTCTTTTTTCTGAATAGCTTCTATGCATGCTGGAAAATAAATAGAAATATTATTGGTTTCACAAAACTGTGAGATTGATCATCAGAACATACAAAACGTAAGCAATTTATCTGCTTTTTTTAGGCAAAAATCTTTGGATTTATTAAAACCTTCAGAGGCATATGTGTACATTACCTTTGGTCATTTTTGGAACTATTTGGTTTGCTCTGTATTTAAGAAGTTCACTGGTTTCGGACACTTCTCTTCATTGCATCAGTAGAACTGTACTTTTTTCCTTTCATCATTCACTACTAATATTAATACTCTCATTTCTGGCCAATGAGAAGCTGGCGCAATTTGCTTTGCGATCGAGTCCCTACCATCAGGAGATGATCCTTTACACCAAAGAACCTATAATATTAAAAAAATATTTATAAAATACAGGATGTTTCCTAAACATGAGGAAAATTGTAGAGGTGACTCTAGTCTATTTAGGTCCACGTTGTAATATTTATATGACAATTTAAAAACGCTTCGTTTTGAACAATACGTGGCAGCAAAATTTTCGCAGAATATTTTGTGCTCGGTAAGAGCTACAAGATAACTAGCGTACCTATAGCTGGAGCGCGAGACTACAATTTCCTCGACATATACTAAACTTCTTTCAAATACGTCAAGCATTTTTTTGAGTTACATCCAGCAGCTTCTTGGTGGTTGATAGTACGTGTTTAACTGCTTAACAGGAACATACAATCGTTGGATACGTCAAGAAGGACCTGGCTCAATGGTCTGCTCGATCTCCGAACTATGGGGTCGTCGAAAGTTATTAGTTTACACAACAGCAGTCGATAATCGGATAATTGCTGGATCTTACTCAGAGAGCAACAGCCCTGGTGTAATTAAAACTTCAACGGACTATGGTGACAAGTGGATACCTGGAGGAAGTTTTTTCTACACGAAAGCAGCCGCGCAGGCAGAAGCCTAAATGCCAGGCCACCGCGGCTGCTATGAGGATCCCAATGCGATTTTTGTACCGTCTAAGGCTAGTAGAACTGGAAAAACCTCCTCTTGTAGAATTTTCCACAATCTCGACACCCTAGGGACAAAGGAGCGATCGTGTCGGCCAGTTCTGGATGTACGAGTTCGACACGGTTAGTATGGGAGGAGGAAGTCAGGTAGGTCTATCTAGCATGCACATCGCGCGGCGGCATCATGTAGTAGAAACTCTGAGGAGTTAAGCCCATTGATGTAGCCAGGTAGAAGAGAGCTAGCACCGCCGCTGGCCCGCCGGTGCGAAAAGGTCCCGAGACTCCGGTTAGACAAGAGTCATCGATCAGTCGGACAGCCCTCTTCTGAACAGCATCGAGCATGGATAATGTAGTTGGGGGGGCAGTACCCCAAACGAGTGAGAAATACTCGAGGCCGTCATGTGAAGAAAAACGTACTTCTAGCCCTAAAACAATTAGCCTAGCTTTTCCCCAGCAGCGGCCGCTACTGACTAGATGTGTTCGTGTCAGATCAAGTCCGTGGTGATCTGGACTCCGACTAGCCGAAATGAACGCCTCTTTGGTAAAACTCAGTCATCCATCGGAACCGGATTAGCGCTAGGGCACTGCTTTATCAAGGTACAGTCACTTTTTTTCGTCAAGGTACAGTACTGTGTTCTGGAGGCACTAAACTGTACAAAATTGTTGCGTCCCCAAGCAGTGATAAACTCCAGGTGTCTCGTCATAGAGGAAGCCGCTGCTGGTCCTGCATGTAAAGTGCTGTCATCAGCAAAGTTGTGGATTGGATTAATCGTAAAGGAAAGGAGGTCGTTGAGATGTATGAGGTACATTGTGGGAGCTAAGACCGATCCCTGAAGAACACCCGCGTTGACATTGTGGGATAAAGAGGAGAACCCGTTAAGATTACGGCGGAAGTTTGCATAACAGGACAGCATGCCACAGCTAATCGAACGCTCTCGTGATATCAGAAGCAACGACATGAGCTCACCATAAGACTGGATGGGTTTACCCCAAAATTGCGAGACGTAAACTGGAGGTCCTCTGTGGATCGCTGATGGTGTATGAAACCGTACTGCTTGAAGCTAATCAAGCCGTGACATTCGAGGTACCTACTCCAAAAGCCCGCGATTCATGCACCTCTCCATCACTTTACTTATAACAGAAAGCAGAGCGACTGCACTGTTAAATATAACTGACGACATCTTCAAAGCAACAGATTCCGGAAAAACCACCTTTCTCGTGCTCTTGGACTACTCGTACTCCACGGCATTTGATAAACTATATCACGAAATGCTGTGTTTGGTGTTTTACACTATATAGGGTTTTCCGAATCTGCCAGCACGCTTATGTGCCACTATTTAACTAACAGAACACAATATGTAGAAACAGATAAAGGTACGAGTATGTCCTCCAAAGATGTCATCCCACCGGGTGTTCCACAAGGCTCCATTATAGGACTTCTGATTTTGGTTTGGTATTTATACATAAACCTTTCCCAATGTCTCCGAAGTTGTCAGGTACATTTGTATGCTGACGATACTCAGCTTTATTTTTCTTCCAATCCTAACGAGAAACGTGAAGCATTGGCAATTATTAATCAAGATATTGAAAGATTAGTTGTATTTTCGGAAAATCATGGTCTACAGATTAATGCAAGCGAATCACAACTCATGTTATTTGGCAGATTGAAAGACAATATTGAGCCCACTTTTCATGTCAAAATAAAAAGTGAATCTATACCTTGTTCTGCCGCTGTGAGAAATTTGGGAATACAATTTGACTCATATCTAAGATTTAAGCCTCATATTAATAAAATGTATCCAGAAAGCTTATGCTTCTCTAAAAGTTAAACTTAAAATATTGCTCTGTAAAGTACTAGTACTCAGCCATTTTAATTTTTTGTAACAGCGTTTATGGGTTTTGTTTAGACAAGATTGACATGGATAGAATTGAACGTATACAGAAGTCCTGCCTACGATTTATTTATGGTATACGTAAGTAGGAGTTTTACATAAGTTGCTTGGTGCAAACTGGTTGAATATGCGGGGTCGATGTGAGTTGCATGCATGTAATCTTTTTCACAAAATTATGTTTTTTAAGCAACCAGCATATTTATTCAATAGAATAACTTTTCGCATCGATGTACATAACTTAAATTTGCTGTTTCAGGGCTACATATCACCTCCTCCTCATCAAACTTCTCTTTTTTGTAGATCTTTCTCATACACCTTTACCGGCTTAACAATCAAATTCCTAATGACTTTAAAATTCTGCATCCAAACCAGTTTAAAATCAAATATAAAAAATTTATTTTTGAAAAACACTTCAGCGCACATTAATGTAAATGAGGCACAAGCACCAAACTAATGAAAAAGAATTTTTTTGTACTATAACTCTATTATTCTAAATCTATTATTCGAGGCTTTCTAAGGTAGATATATATGTATATATGTGTATGTATGTTGTATGTGTGTGTTATGTACATATATGAATGTGTAATAGGTAAAGGGCTGAACTTGTATCATTTTTAAATGCCTTCAGCCCTTTTTTGTAACATATCTCATTTAAATGTATTTTGCTACTATTTTCATTTAACGGTATGTTGCAAATAAACATTATTATTATTATATAGGCCTGTAGTTGTAAGGGCCGGTCTTAGGTCTTTTTTTTAGATAGGTTGGACATGAGCAAATCTCTAGTTTTCTGGGAAGGTGCCGGATTCGTAAGATATTTGGAAGAGACGCAAAAGAATCGGAGCAAACTCCGCTTCACACCTCTTCATTAAAACGGCAGGAATCAAGTCCGCACCAGAAGCTTTGTTGCTGTCGAGCGACAAGAGCACTCGTCTTTCGGTTTTATTCATGAATGTTACTTACCGCATAGTGTAGGGAACCCTTTGAAGCGACGGTATCTTAATGCCCATGGTGGAGTGGGCAGCAAAGATCTTGGCAAGCACTGCCGCCTTAGCCTTTGAGTCGGTTACAATCATTCCATCCTAGCACGAAAGTGCTGGAAGGCTACTATACAAGAAGTTCCTTTCAATCTGCTTGGCCAGCGTCCAGAAATACCGACTGCCATTGCGCTGCGACATTACCCTATGCCTAATTTTTATATCGTGCTGGTCGTTGGCATTGCGGTCTGATCCGTTATATGTGTTTCTGCACTCGACATCGGTTTCCGGCTTGTCGGTGCTTTACTGTGGGGTTTTGTAACACGGTTCTGTATGCCTTGATCTGCTGACGTGCAGTGTCGCACGATTTGTCGACCCAGCGTTTAGACCCTGGTTTGGGCACCTTTAATGTACGAGGGATGTATTCCTCCATCCCGACGTGGATAATTTCGGTTACCAATGAACAGACAGCCGACACGTCCGCGTCAGCAAAACAAACATCTCCTAGTCGCAAATTTCAAGGTTCCCTCGAGTCCACCCTCCACCCGAACATTCAGAGAATGGAGTGAGTTTACGTCTAGAATTCTTAGTACTCAATGGATCCATCATCATTCATTTTATTTTGAACAGTCTAGGTACAATAAGACGCTAATGAAAACTATTTTCCAAAATGTTGTTCGCCTTAGAAACGAAGCGATTTTTTAAAACCTCAAACGACAAAATAGTCTATGAATATTGCCCCAGATTTTGGAAACACCTTGTATAAAATACCTTATGATGAGTGTAATTTTTTCACTTGTGTACTGTAACAATGAAGGTCTTGTAGTTTTGCAAACTGTACCTTTTTGGAAACAGTTTTTTAACATATCCACCACCTCTTTTTATCATACAAATAGTTATCTATATGATAAAATAAAATACAAGACGTACCATGCAATAAAGTAAATTTTGCCAGATTAATCGTTTCGGTATATTGGCTTGGCAGAGTAATCCTAGCGTGACATAACAAACTTTTCGGTGCCATTTTTCAATATGGTGACATGAGCGACAAGGATAGGATGATAGTATTTAAATCTATATAGGTGCCAATTATCAAGACAATATGAGTAGAAGTAGACATACCCATCCACCATACATGCTCCTACAAGCACTCCCAGATCCCATCCTAGCTATGAAGGAAACATTATCTTCTATCTCGTACAGCTTGGCCAAAGCTGAAACTAGACAAGCATATCCGGCTGCCGATGATGCCAGACCTGCCGCTGTCGGGAAGTTGTTCTCAGATTTGATGGAAAACTTCCAGTTCAGATGAGGTAGGGATTTGCTAGCTAGGCGCTTTACTAAAAACAGAAGGTGTGTAGAACTAGCGGAGTTGGAAGAGTGTAAATACGAGTATACTATCGCTAACAATGGGACTTGACGCATAAGGGGAGATAATCGGACTTTTCACTTTTTGGAACCTCGCCCAGTTAGGCTTGTTGAGAGTAAGAGGACGTGCCCTTTTCCCCATTTTTTTTATGTTTACCTAGGTGCTTTTGAAACTGCTTTATTATATCGTTTTTTAATTTAAAAATCTCATTCGTATTAGAAGATACAATTTTGCTTACGTCAAATTAGGGGTCTTCGAAGCACGCATGAAACAATTTTTTGCGATAATTTTTGGTGGGAAATTCAATTTTTCAATCAATCATAACTCCGACACCTTATATCCCGAAAAAGAAAGCCTCGAAGGCCCATAGGGTATTACAAAGTTTTAAAAAACAAACTGTGGAAGATTTTAGTCGCATAGCTAATTAGCATTGCTAATTTTCCTTCCGTGCGTGCTCTTAAGCATCATTACTAATTGCTTAATATTTTACAAAAACGCGCATTGTCATAATTGTAATTGTTATTCAAAATCAAGCGACATTTTTTAATGAGTTCACCAACCTTCCTGTAAACAGTTAGTTAATCTTTTGTTGTTGAAGCTTTGTTCTTTTCCGTTCAGCCAGAATGTGTTTTCTTGTAATTCCGGGCTCGCTATTATTGTTGTTTTTGCGCACATCTGAAAAGACAATAGTGAATAAAGGAATTACGCTGTTGCTTACGAATACTCACGAAGTCCATGGAAAGTGTGCCACTAAGCGAGTCATTGATCGGAATTATCAAGTTTTCGTCTGATTTTCCCCCTAGAATAAAAAATAAAACAAAGGTCAAACTCGCGTTGTTTGTTTGATACAAAGCATTAAAAAATGCATGAAACATTAATTCAGAACGGCAAACGTTTCCATTACAAGATATAGTCATACAATTTCGATTAATCATCTTAGGGTTTAAATAATGAGAACGGGTGAGCATTTTTGTTTTTAGGCATTTGAAGCCCATAGCGTTCGGACGGATTAGATAATACGTAAATACGTTAATCAATGATTCCAGTAATGTTAAGTGGGTATACGTTGCTAGACGCAATTTTATTACTCTACGAATTTGTATGGTACATGTTCATGATTTTTATGTTGAAATATGGCGAATTTCCAACAAAACTGAAGTGTTCTACCATAACTCCTGTCTCTAAAGTTAAGAATTCTGAGTTGTACACCAATATGCGGCCATTAAATGTTCTGCCAGATGTTGAAAAAGTTTTTGAAGAAATTATTTACGGACAGCTCATTGAATTTATTGAGCGAAATAACATTTTAACAAAATTTCAAGCTGGATTTAGGAAGAAAC